TGTTTTTTATTTTAAAGAAAATTCAGATTTTACATAGTAAAAAACTGTAAATTATAGTGTCCGTCCAAAAATTATTTTTTACTTATAGTGAAAACTACCCTTGGATGATGGTAAGGTAGACTAAAAGCTTTAGGAATCCAAAGTACAACATATAAGTAGGCTAACCTGTATCAAGATTGATGCAAAACAAGTGACATTTGACCTTTTTAGAGAGGTTTAGCCAAAAACACTCCACCTCTGAGGTGATTTGGGTGGAAATGTTTTTTTTTCCATATCTCTGGCCCCCCTTTGTCGATTTTGATGGTTGACACCTCTTTCTGACCATTAGAGTCAATAGAATCGAAGGGGGAGTCCCCCACACACACTCGTTGGAAAACAAAAAGGTGGGAGCTTTGCGCATGTAGTTTTGCATGAGAGTGAACCGACACTCTAGCTCTGACATCTAGAAACGGAAAAGCAGTTTTATTGCTCATGGATTATCAGAAATCATTTCAAAGGGACACAGACACATTGGATTAACCTATATGGATTAACTTCAGCAGCGTTTTTATCATTTTAATGCCATTGAAGACCACTTTGGAGAGACTACAGAGACAAGGTAAACATGTTAGCATTTTTAGCTACCTAGCGCCACATGTTTTGATGTCTGTTTTTGTTTATAACATCGCAATTTCGTATAATTCAGTGATAATGAGGGTACCCTTCGATTCTGTGTCACCTCCCGATGTGAAACGATGTTATGGATATGGAGAAAAGATAAATAATAAGGTTTTGTCAGTGATTTTCTGTGCAGTAATCTGTTAGCATTTTTCGCTCGTTGCTAATTCAGAGGCTCAGTGTTAGCATTGTGGGTTTTCTTTTGAAAATAAAATAAAAATGATCAGTTAGATGAGTTTCTTCCCGTTACATGGATATAAAACAATCATAGTTTATTAAATGAACATGCCCTCAGACACTGTTTCCTGCAAGATTTTGCGGCAGTGCCCTGGTACCGGGTTCTCTCGGGCTTAACAGGTTAATTTAGCGGAGAAATGCAGAAAAGTGAAATTATTTTAATCAAATTGTTACAGCTCAAATGCATTGCAATGACTTTGTTGAAAACTTGAAAGTGAAATGTTAAACTGGAAGAGTAGGAAAAATAGTGAAGAAGCTTAATATTTAAAATAAAAGGTTTAAAAAAAGGTATAAACAACAACATGTATAGCCTCAATGTCCTGAAATAGCTGAATAATGTAATAGTTGAATGGTTTCTGCAGCTGAAAGTAGGCCGAAGGAGTTAAATATCAGATGTAGCGAATGAATGTGTATTAAGAAGATAAAAGAAAGTAAAAAGGCTTGGGAAAGCAGCAGAATATTTTGACTGCAAACCTTTTGACTAAAACCATACGTCATCAATAATGTATAAAATATGTGGAACATGTTGAAGTCAGTATGAAGTCTCCATCAGACAGAAAATAATAGGCTGAGACAGTCTGTTAACCTGTTAAGCCCCGAGCCTGTTTTTCATGTTTCAGGCTCGAAAATGACATGCCCAAAACAAATGACTACAACTTCACTTCTAAAAGGGTTATATGAATAATTTCTTTTATCAAAGCAAGGTTACATCTGTGAGTTGGATGTAGAAGTGCCAGAATGGAACATAGTAAAAAAAGGTAAATTCTTACCTCCGCCTAAAGAAAAAACATTACTTATAGTGAAAACCACCCTTGAATGATGGGATGGTAGACTAAAAGCTTTAGGAATCCAAACTATAACATAGAATAAGTACCCTGTATCAAGATTGAGGCAAAACAAGTTAAATTTGACCTTTTTAGAGAGGTTTAGCAAAAAAAAGTTCCAGGCGGAATAAGCTTTCGGCACATTTGGGTACATCTGGTTCCATCAGTGCCATTTGACCTTTTTCAGGTACCAGACTATAAAAATGATGTATTACATTGAATTATCACCATAGGTATTCATTCCATCCAAAGAAAAAAAATTAAAAGAAAAAAAAAAACGTAAAAAGACGGGGGCTTTGGGGCTTAACAGGTTAAAGTCCAGTCTGTTTGTCAGTGTTTGTTTCTGTGCTGAGCACCTAATCATAACAAATAATCATAACACCTGTGTGAGCCCAGAGATCAGAGGTTTCAATCTGCCCAGCAACACCATGGTTACCAGCTGCAGCACTGAGTCCCATTAAGAATGCATTGAGGATTATATCTGACAATTTTGCCACCTGTTAAAAAACTATGGCTCCTATAAAAAAATGACCAGACCGTGAGCATCAGGGAACCCCAATGAACTGATATGTTTGATTTTTTGGTTTTGTGTGTAAAATGTGGAGATGGGAGCAGTTTGTTTAAAGTTTACTTCTCTCTGTTCTGAAGAAAGATCCGGAAATGGTTTACATGGGAGTCTATTGGGAGCAAGGTGGAATTTTTGACAAGTTTCTGTCTGTTCATGCCCTCAAGAGGCATTTTGTTTGATATTTTTTCTTAATTCTTTTTTATTTTCCAACCTAGGAGAGGTTTTCCTACGTTTTTCATGACAAATTATGTCTCAGGAGTGTAGGGTTTGGGAATTATGGCAGGTTTAAAACATTTTTTGGGGCGAATTTCAAGCTGTCCTCCACTCTGTTTTGAGATCAAAGCACTCTAAGCCTTAACGAGCTGCTCCATACACACTCATGTTAAAATCTGAATAAAGCCTCTTTACCAAGCTCCAAACTAAGTTATATAAGTTATAAGTTATATCTCAAAAAGTGTAAAATATATGAAAAATCTGAATAACAAGTTTTATAGCTGAAGGTCTTGTGATCATTTTAAAGTTAGAATGAAGTCTCTAGCTGAAAGTATGTGGAAGGAGAAGCATTTGGCGCAAGGTGTAGGTAAAAGAGGATTTGAAGGTTCCTCCCATTGACTTCCATGTTAAAAAAAGAGTTTAAAAATCTGAATATTTCAAAGTATGAAATATTTTGAAAAAGTTGAAAGTTTCCCATCGATTGCTGAAAAGGCTGAATAGTTTGATATTCAAATGGTTTCTGTAGCTGAAAGTATGCTGAAGTTATTGAGAGCCAAAGTATTGGTTGATTTGAAATTAGTGTGAATGCTGTAAACAGCATTCACACTAATAAAATGGGTGTCTCAGGATATAAAAAGCCAGGCAGTGAACACCAAGAGGGTTTTTAAAGGCGCACTGGCACCAGGTGTCTCTAACTAGCCCATGTGTTGCGAACGAGCCCAGATGCTGCCAATTTACTGATTACCCTAAGCCACGCCCACCTCAGTGCAAAGGAAGCAGTCACACCAACCAAATGAGAAAGAACATGAGAGAGATCATACAATAACATTTTAGTAGCACAATGACAAATGTAGACACTATTAAAAAGGACCTGTACCATTCATTACAAAAAATACTGCATTAGAGCTTCATTATACGCTTTCTCAATCATGTTTCTGAGACTGAAGATGTTTAATTACAATCAACACTTACCCAAATAACTTGAGACACTCATTAACTTTGGGACCACTTTATTGCATCACATTAAGTTGTCATTAGGTTCATCCTAACAATTAGTAAGAGAACACTAGTGGAGGTTACTTAAGAGCAGTATGTATCTACAGCAGGGGTCGGCAACCCCTGGCACGCGTGCCACCATTGGCACGCGGCACCATAACCAGTGGCACACTAGGAATAAGTGGAATAAGTGTGCAAAATATTTAAATTTTATTTTTGGATCCTGAACGAGACCGCCGCCAGAGCGCGTCTCCACATTACCTGCAGAAGGAACCAATGCACGCAACGCAGCCCCGCTCTCTTTAACTCCAGGCGACTTTCTGCCGCTTTCCTCCGTAGTGCAGTGCTGATCGTTTCACCACGGAGGAAAGCACTTCACAAATTGCAGTAGCCATAAGGAGCTGTACAAATACCGCAGTTTTTGCGTGGCTGTGTCTTTAGTTGAAAGCCCAGTGGCGATCTGTTCATCTCTCATCGAAATAACATGCTACACAGGGGCGGACTGGCCATGTGTGTTCTGGAGAATCACAGAACGGACGATCGTCATTATTATGCCGTTTAAACCAATTATTTAAATTTGTTTGTTAAATTCGGCATCATGTAAGTTAGGGATGCTCCGACCGATCGGCCGCCGATCGATATCGGCCGATACTCACTCTCTACCGATCGATCGGTGCTCTCTAAAAATGCCGATCGCGAGAGCCGATCGCAAGACGTAAAATACATGACACTTTTCTCTGTGCGCGGCAAAACAAGCTCGCCAAAATGGCTTCACCAGTCTGGCAGTATTTTAAGGTGTCCGAAAATGACAATATAATGGCGGTATGCAACGTGTGTGAAGCAAAAATCCTGCAGCTCCACCCGCTGTGACGGACCGGTGAGCGGAGTGAAACACACAAGAGTTAGACCTAACACACTTAGCTATTTTATCTACCTCTGGAACAAGCTAAACTAGTTATACATATGTTTATTCTTCACTGTCGTGTCACGCGTTACTGGATCAGTGAGCTGCATGAGATACTGACAGGCTGCCTGTCAGGAGAGAGAGAGAGGGGGAGAGAGGAAAAGAGAGCTTCCGTTCATTTCTCCCGTGTTATTAAGTGAATGTAAACTTGAATAATGTACTTCATTTGAATGTAATAATTATGTTGGTTGTTGTTTGTGGAAGCGCCAGTGAATGAGCCCCATTAACTGAGTTTTAAACATCACTTTAAATGGAAGATCCCCATAGACCCCGCCCACTCGATCGGATCGGTATCGGCCGATACTGATTCCGGCGATCGGCCCCAAAATTGGCGATTGGACCATCAGTAATGTAATGGTCAGTGTGTGGACCTGTCAGTAAGTTGCGCTGACAGGTCCACACACTGCTTCCCCGCAGCGAGGCTCCCCCGCCCTCCTGTTGACAGTTCACGAGCGTCGAGCTCCTCACCACCTCCCCCCGCCCTCCTGTTGACAGTTCACGAGCGTCAAGCTCTTCACCCCCCCCCCACCCCTCTGCACGCTGATAAAATAATTTTCTTTGAATGGCACTCCATATCAAAAAGGTTGCCGACCCCTGATCTACAGGAACATGGTAAACACATTGGAACCGAGCTTTGCATAAACAAGTTAGCCACAAGCAACACTAATGTGCAAAGAATGTTTTTTTGAATGTACAACATAATAGCATCTGTACAAATCATGTTTCTCTACTGCTTCTAAAAATGATGCAAAAGAAGATATTTCATTCAGATTTCAAGACAGTTGCTACTATCTTGAGATCAACGCGATTTCCCATAATGTAAAAAAAAAATCTGTTGCTCTAAAAAAACAAAACATGATTAAAATCTGATTGGAAGGGGCATACCCACTATCATTTTATATGTCTGAAAAAATAAAAGCAACCACAAATGCAATAGAATAAATAGGAATAATAAATTAAATTGAAGAAAACTAGAAACATCTTTTACATGTGGCATCATTGAGCAACAGGGAAAATAGGCACGTCTGTTTATTAATCATATTAAGTCTTGAGAGAATGGAAAGAATTACTAAAAGATAAAGAAGTGCAGCTTTGCTCCGTGGTAACACGTCTGGCAAAACATTTATAAAAATAAAGCAAAAAAATCTTGGCACAGGCAATTTACCTTCAGCACGAAACAGCCTAAAATATGTGAGGAAGATCAAAATAACTTGCGGTATTGGCTGCGTAAAAAAATACAAAAAACCTCTTAGATATGGAAGATCAAGCTTGACTTAATAAAAACTAAATAATAAATACATACAATTGGCCAAGGCAAATTAAATAAACTGATGAAATGCACATACTGTATATGAGGTGACTGTATTATTACGTCGTGATTTATGACGGTGTATTAGGGGACATTTTAGTTAAAAAAGAGAATGCTAGAGCTTGGGGAGGCTGAACTTTACATTAACCACATACTGTAGCTTCACCTGCATCCAATGTAGACTGCCTGCAGTGGTTGACCTAATCAAATTACACTTTGCAATGGGATTTAGCAATTAGGAAAGATTTAGGGTTTTAGTCCAGAATGACCAAATTTACATGCGGACCCCGACTGACATTATTCAGATAAAAAACAATAAACTGATTTGGATGAGGTCATGGCTTTTGCGTATTAGGATCTACAGGCTGGACATCACCATGGTCCATACTGCTAAAGCTCCTCACCAACACATGCATCTGGCATATTTCGTGGAACAATATTTAAGTTTCTTTCTTGTAAATTTGCAATTTTTAGAGATTATCAGAATCTTCTCTTATACATGTTCCGTAATAAAAAAATCCAATGGCCCTAATACAAAGTTTTATACATATTGAACAGTTACCCAAGTCTGTCTTAAAAAAAGTATTTTAGGGAATAAAAACTGTCAGTCAGACGCGTTAAAAACACCCGGTAGTAGTGAAATATTCCTTAGCTGCTATGAACATTATTTATATAGTTGTGCATTTATTTCCAATAAGTCAATGCTTGGTCTTCCATACACAAAAAATAATTAGTAGAGATTGTTATGGATTTGTCTACACGTTGTTTAATATATTATTGTAATGGTTTTCTTAAAGGACGGATCAGTTAATGAGTTATCTAAACGCACCTCTTCCAAACTGTCTGTAGTACATAGAAACATAGAACAAAAAGACCTAAGAAAAGGAACATTCAGAATAACAGGAAGTCATGAGTAGAAATAAAATCAACACTTTTTACAAAACACTGATTTTCAGTTCTTCAAACTACAGGCAGCAAATATAAATTGCAGTAAAAAGCACAACTGGCAATGTAACGCTTAAAAAAATGTAAGAAAGAAAGCCTGTCCATGGACCCCAAACTGTCCAATAACAGCTCTTTAAACACCACAGAGTAAGACTTGGTAGAATGATTTAAGGAAGCTAAAAGCAGAATGAAACATCCTTCGAATACGGACAGGCCTCAACAGCTCTTTGTCTATTCGTCCTTTACGTAAGACTTGGACATATCATGTTTGAAAACGTGTTTCTTCGTCCAGCACACCTACAGCTTCCATTCCTCATCGTAGGACTATAAGGAATGTTCAGTGCAGTTCGTCAAGAAGTCCAGCGAGCCACGGAGGAAAATGTTTGATATAATGTCTCCCTTTAGTTTGGAAATCCTTACGAGAGAAGTCATGTAAATTCCTTTGTTTTAAATGTGCTTCATTTCACATATTCTTCCCGTTAACTCCCAGTGTTCAGTTCATGGGAGTTTTAGAGTCAGTGATCCTCTTAAGATCATCCCTCCCTTCACTAAAAGTCAAAATGACAGAATGTGCCATACCTTTCGCATTATAAAAAGATTATTCTTTTCTCCAGGAGACAGAAGCTGCTCCCATTATTGTCTTTTATTTTAGAGGAGAAATGTATCCAGTCCGTTGGGTCATAGGTCAGTGACTTTGTTTTCCACGGCGGCAGCGATCTGTTGCAGCCGGTAACCCAGCTGCATCTTCTGGGCGGTGCAGTCCTCCTCCAGGGCTGTGATGATCTGCAGGAAGAGGGAAAACAGTACAATTATATTGCTTTAGATTAACTTTCTGTGTTATGTCTGAAATCAATGAACAATTGTGACCCATCGTTGAAAAAAAGAGATGTAAACATGCCACTATAAAAAAAAAAAAAATGCATTGCATAAAGGGGTAGGTTTTCAAATGGATTCTCTGATTCAATAATGGATTTTTATTTGAATGGTCTGATATGGATTCATACAATTCTGATATTCTTCTTTAATATTTGCTTCTTCCGTTGGATGCCCTAATGCTGAGAACTTTTTTCCTGTCTTAATTGCATGGGGCGGGACATCTCTAAGCATTTGACCAATCACAACAGAGCCGGCCAGCTAACCATCAGAGCAGGCTCTGGTTTCAGACAGAGGGTGAAAAGAGGTACTGCAGCACAGGCAGTATGAGAAAAATAAAGAGCTTTTTGAACATTAAAGCATGGAGACATGTCACAGTAGAGACACTACATACTGATATGATCCTGAAAACGAGCAGAATAGGGCCTATTTAAACCAAACCTGAGTATATCATTATTGGGACCTTGTGAATCGGAATCCTCTGGAATTCGGTGGTGATTCGCAGCCCTAGCTGCACATGTGCACTGGTATCTATGAGACGCAGCAGATACCATTCCCCTGCTGTATTCCAGCACTTACAGATAATAAATGATTTGTGCATGTAGTAGAGAAGCATCTGAACAACAGCACAACATGCTGTGGCGTACTCACTCCATCGTAGTATTTGTTGATTATTTAAAAAATGTGTATGATAAGACCGTTGAATCCCTATCTATCCCCAAATGAGGTAACACTATGGTAGCTGAGCCTATGGCTAACTGATCAAAGTTATGTATACATTTGCAGTATCACTCCTTGGTGTTTGAGGTCCAGTCTAAGAACATGATGTTGCTAATGCAAACAGAACACTGCAGTTTCAAATTAAAAGCATCTAGCTTCTAAAACAAGAGTTGAGTTTTTTCCTGAAGAAGCGTTTGCTGCCCCCAGTCTTCCTAGAACTGTAGTAGAATGTATTTCAAAACCAAGCAAAATGGATTAACCCTAACCTGAAATATCCCTCATTAAACCAGTATATAAACAAATCATATTCAGGACCTTGAAAATTGAAATGAAAGAGAATTTGTTGGCGATACCCAGCCTTGCTACACATGTGCACTGGTATCTATGAGACGCAGCAGATACCATTCCCCTGCTGTATTCCAGCACTTACAGAGACTAAATTATTTGTGCATGTAGTAGAGAAGCATTTGAACAACAACACAACACGCCCCGGTGTACTCACTTGATCGTAGTATTTGTTGATGTACTTGTACAGCTCATGTAAAGCCACGAGGCAGTTGACCTCTGCTGTGTAGTTCTGTGATGTGAGGAGAGAGAAGAGAGAGAGGTGAGGGGGGGCGGGGGCTGTTCAGAATTGCATCGCTTGCCATTCATATTTTATTTTAATCTAGCTTGTCAGGCACACAGTGACTTCCAGAACCTTAAGATGATTTATGTGTTCAACGTCGGCTAACATAAAGAAGCTATTCTTGCAGAAGTGGAAGAACAAGAGAGGGGAGCGTACACGAGAGAGTTCAGCCAGAGCGGAGTTCATCTCCTGGTCGCTGGCCGAGATGGTCTGACGGATGTCTGCGTAGTACCTGGAGAGAAAGGAGTTGGTATAGAAATCAAGGAAAGAACTGCATTGAATTAAGGTTTACATACAAATATATGTTCTACTTTTGTATCGTTTGAGAATAAATACCCTGCTTCTTGAATTTGAAATGGAATGGACTATCATGCTCCTAAGTGTCTTCAATTCTATTGGACAGGACTTTCACCTCATCCTGACTTCTGTCTGCATGAAGTTCAGGAGATACAGACACATTGATCTGAAGTGGCCACATGCAATCTGAAACTATTCATCTTTTTAGACTCAAGGATGTGTTCTTCAGTCAGTTAGAAGGAAAGACATATTCTCTATGACCTTCAGCTCATCGAGTATGAATCCAAAAGACAAAGTTGCTTTTGTTATGCAATTGGAATTCAGAGTTTGTACAAAAAAAGAAATAAATGCAGTGTTAGACCCATACAGCTCAGTTGGTAGAGGGGGGGGGCAGCCGATGTTCTGCGGCTGGGTCCCCCTGTGGAGGACCACGTGTCATCCCCTTACTCACCACTGTCACTCAAATAAAGGCACTATCTTAATATTTAAAAAACAAACAAAAACACAGTGCTCAGTCATCTCATATGAAAGGATGCTTACTCCCAGTTGTGTGTTTGGAAGTATCGTTTTTGATGCAATTTTGACAAGGTGTATTATATATGTTTAGTTCATTGCTACCAAAGGAAAGCCTAACAAGCTGTGCACACTGAACCGTGGAACTTCCTCTGTATATTTTTCACACTTCTGTTTAAATCAAACTGTATTTATATAGGACAACATTTAACACTTCAGTGTTTCACAAACCAAAATTAAAAATAATACCCGTCCCTTCCCATGTAATAAATAGAATCAGACATAACTGTGTGATTGATTAAAGGAGCAACATAAAAAGTAATACCGACTGAAATCAATAACCACAGGATTGATTACACAATTATAAAATAAGAATAAATACAACTTCATTAAAAGCCAAATGTAATATATTATTTATAATTAGCATATTTATATGTCTTGCAATTTTCTTAATTTTAAAATCGTTTCAAAATAGTTTTTATAAGTTCTAAAGCAAATTCCTTGTAAAAACTGCAAATGTATATATTTTTTCTCTTGTGCTTATTTGCTTTGGATTTAATATTGCGGTTATCCAAAAGTACAGGTAACTAGTTAATGTAACATTTGAACAGTCATCCCTCCCACCCTGAACAGGACTGATGAGGCCGATATGTTCCTCAGGAGTCTGTCAGCAGCTCTCCCAGCAGTGTGAGGGGCAGCAGACAGCAGCAGTGTAGCAGCTGCTCTCAGACCAGCCATGCATGGAGCCTGGCAGTCTGCCCTGTCTGCCTCCACAGATTGTCCCAGGCCTCGCTCTCTCTTTCTCTCTTTCTCTCTTTCCCCCCCTCCCTCCCGTTTTTATGCCTGGGGTCAGTTGGGAACCTGCTGCCATATTCTTACCTCTCCACCATCTGCTTGTAGCGCGGGATGTCTCTGGCGTACAGCAACTTGTTGATGGGCGAGTCCTGTGAGAGGAAGACAAATGGATATCACGTTAAACAGGGCGTATAAAGAGTTGTTAATTTAAATATGCTACTGGTATTAAACGTAGCTTTTTCTCACATTATGAGAAGATTATTATTAATTCGCTGATTTGTTTATATTGTTCTTACTGTACCTAGTGCATTTACATTTAATACAAATAAAACTGTAATTACTTTGCTAACTTATAATGTAAACAGTATATACACTAGTGTTCTATTTATTTATGTATCTGTTATTTTATTATAGTTTTTCCTCTGTAGTCCCTGTCTAAAGAACATATATATTTGTATATAAATGATGATAGATTCATATAAATCATTAAGCATAGCGTTTTTTAAATCATATTTACTACTACACAGCGGTACAGTGTAATAACGCTGCGTTACAGTGACACTGATCTCACCCGTCCCAGCTTGTGGTCGGCGATGGTGCAGGAGTCCATGAAGGTCTGAGCGATGACGGACAGCACGGCGTCCACGTGGTCCGAGGTCTGCACGTCGAAGATGAACTGCGGGTTCTTCAGGATGTTGATCCAGAACCGCAGCGGTAAACTGACCAGAGAAAAAGAGACAGTCATTTATATGGCAGATCATTAATAATAATAATAATAACTATTCTACTTACGGCTTTACCCCTTGAACCAAAGTAGGTGTGTGAAAATGTCTAAATAACACCGTGATAATTTATATGATCTGTGGTAACATTAGTGCATTGTTGATATCAGGTCTTGGTGAAACTATGCATCCAGTTGTGGTACACATGTATGTTGTATGTGCGTAGGCTTCACTGAAGCATGAAGTTCCGAAACCTTTGGCCGATGTTTTCTCCTGATGTGTGTGTATAACATGTCTCAAAGTCCGCCCAGCACAAGTCGGTTTCGTTCTGGCTTCAACACCCAGGTCTTTCCGAGGTTACCTGTTGGTTTTCCAGATATGGATGGTCTCGGGGTCGGTGATGCCGTGCTTCAGAGCCTGATCATCTAGCAGGTCGAAGAAGTATTTGACCGCCAGAGGAACGGGGCGGCTGGTGCTGAGGATCGCCGTGAACAGATCATCCACAAACTTCTGCAGCGTGCCCTGAGACGGAGCGGATAAAAGACAAACAGATGAATAAACAAGATCTGTACGCAAATCTAATTTCCATAATTTATGACAATCATGACTGAGGGTTTAAACTGAAAGTGGAAACTATTCTGAACATATTTCTAGTTATCTTTTTATCTCTATAAGCTTCTTTTTCAAAGTGAGGCACACATGTTTAAGTGTGTGTGTGTGGTATGTGTGTGTGTGTGTGTGTGTGTGTGTGTGTGTGTGTGTGTGGTGTGTGTGTGTGTGTGTGTGTGTGTGTGTGTGTGTGTGTGTGTGTGTGTGTGTGTGTGTGTGTGTGTGTGTTACCTTCATGGAGAGCAGGCGGGTGAGGTAGATCTCGGGGATGGCCTTGGCCCTCTCCCCCCCCCTCTCACTCCCTCTCCTGTGTTTGGGCAGCTCAGACTCCTCGCTGGCTTTCACCAGGTGCCACAGCCTCACCCCCCCCTCCTCCATGTCATCCAGCATGGGGGTCTCTGGAAGGAGGACACAACATCAAGACAAGATTTTAGAGTGGTTCAGTATGAAAATCCCAACCAAGGACAAAGCATATTTATCCGTCATTTCAGTGTTTTGAATAATGTGAAACAAAGTTTATTTTGTCATTAATCAATGTTAATATTATTATAAATATGAAAACAGATGATGGAATAAAGAAAACAGCTATATTCAATAATATTGCCTATCTTTCTGTGATTTTACCACTACCTTTAATGCTGACTTTGAGTTCCTACTTCCATTGATCCCATGCAACACAACACATGCATATAGTCAAACAGCGCCCTCTACTGGTCATTTACACTCGGTTCAACTAATAGAAATTACTTTTCCAAATCGAATCAAACATTATTTAAATAGCACTTTTCATACACAAAAGGTAACACACACCAGAAATAAAAACAACAAACAATCCCCCCCACCATCCTAGGTAATAAATGCCAAGTAACACATGACTTTGTGATGGATGAAAACACTTAAAGCCAGCAGAAGTCAATGAACACCGTATGGAATACAACTAAGAAATAAATACTATTAAATAAGAATAATAAAAAAAAATAAGAACAGACATTTCTTAATTTATAATAAATAAAATTCCATTAAAAGCCATATTAAAAAGGTGGGTCTCTTTAATTTCCAAAATACAGTATAGAAAACATACAAATAATGTAGACTTTTTTTACAAGTGTCAATTCAGAGTATGTGTGTACACTCACTTTCTCCAGGCATGTAATCATGGCTGTCATGGACATGGTTTTTGGTGTTCCTGGTGACGAGGGCCACCGTTGCTCCGTCAGGAACCTGCGTCAAAAAGTGATACCAACTGTAAGACTTCCAGCCTTAAACAATCAGCATGCATGTTTAATGAGAGTGTATGTTGTTGTGTATGTTGTTCTGTGTGTGACTTGCACTGACCTTATAGTGCTGCAGTGTATTCAGGCGCTTCCATAAGCCTTGTACTACTGACGTCAGGTCCTCGTCTGAGAGGATCAGGTGACCTGCAACACCTGAACGCCACTCTGCAGGAAAAAACATGTTTGTTATATATAGTAAGATATTATAACATGTTCATATGACACGTGTTGTTCACATTGTAAAGGCTTGATAATACTTTGATCAAAGGATATAACTGTTTGTGTTTGAATACTCTAATCCTGCTTCATAATATCAGCATGGATTGACTGCAGCTTTGAAGCAGGATTTTTGTAGATCAGATATTTGCTGCATGGCCAGCTCAGGGGGTTTATCCTAATAAATACATTTCTGACAAATGTCTAACAAGCAAGCTGAGAAATGCTCTGTGCTTTAATAGAGGGACATTTGAATTCTATGGAAGCCCATTAGGGACTTTATTAAATTATTGACCTTAAATGTTCTTTCAAAGTCGTACAGAAAAGAAATTCTAGAATATGTTTTTTTTCGGAAATTTGAAGATGGATGTTAAAGGTCCCCTATTATACTGTTTTTCATCAATATAATATAGGTCTCAGATATATACAACATGTCTCAAACAGATCATTGCAGCATCCCATAATCCCCTCTGTTTCAAAAGTGCTGATTCTCTGTCTGTTACTTTAGATGAAAATAAGGAGCCCCTCCCCACGCCCCTCAGAGATATTTGGTTAAAAAGAACACAATGGTGCTCTAGGAGGGGATTCAGATGATAAGGTGGGGAGGGGGGGTACCTTGGTTGGTGATTGGCTAATGGTTACACAAGCCAAAAAAATATTATGACATCATAAAGTGGCCAAAATCTGATCAGCTCATTTTCAGTCTCTTTCCACAGAGGGGACACATGCTGATGTAGAAAATGTGACCTTTAAGTGAAATCTGACATTTTAAATACAATATTATATTTCATACAACTGAGCCATCTGACCCACAGCCCACTTATCAATGCTAAATTGAAGCCTGATTTTCCTACATGCAACAACGTGTATGTACCCAGGTGTAATGAGTCGATGTGTGGCCTCTGGGAAAAGGAGGTTCCCTTCCAGGCTTGTTCCAGAAGTTTCTCCTTCACTTGCGTGATGGTGTCACAGTCTAAGACTTTGGCAGGTACCGTCTGAGTGGTAGCCCCCCCCGGTGGAGGCTGCAGCAGGCATCACAACATTCAGGGTCTGCACAGAGGAGGAGGGGGGGGGGTTAATGGGGGAAATATTGTAATACTGAAATGCAGAATTTCAGGCTTCAATTGTGTGTTTTTACATTAGGGAAGTTGTCCCCTGAATAATTTTAATTTTGTATTTTAATTCAGAAAATAACTCACTCTATTTAATACAACAGTTATCAAATGTAAATGCTGGTCTAGCACAAAGTTATTTTACATTTCTAATAATCTTTTCAGTTTGCATCAATTGTAATAAAAAGGATAAGAAGAAGAATTAAAAACAATGGAAAAAGTCAGATTTTAAAAAGTGTTTACAGAGCAGATTCTCTTGTAAAGTGGTGCTGGAATGAATCCTTAAACAAGGTAATGAGTCAGCATTTTAACACATCTGGTTATAAGAATACCAAAAGCAGTCATGCATTAGCCACCTTTAGCATATATATATATATCCTTTATTTAACCAGGTAAAAGACTCATTGAGATTAAAACCTCTTTTCCAAGAGTGACCTGGCCAAGAAGGGCAACATGAACGAAGTTACAACAGATGAAACACAGACAAGACAGGCAGACAAATTACAGCTGTAAAACACAAATAAAATGTCACATTTCGATATGCGAAATAAAACAAACTATTAAAAATCATTAAAAACGGGCAACATTTTAAAAGATTTTTGGATATACGAGCACTCGCATCTACCAATGGTGTCGTGTTCTCTGTCCTTTAGGATGGACCTGAATTCCCCCATAGTGATTAATAAAAGCCGATACTGTGAAGTCTTTCCGCCAGGATGGTATGATCAACTGTGTCAAACGCCTTTGACAAATCAATAAATAGAGCTGCACAATACTTTTTACAGTCCAATGCCTCAATGATGTTGTTAACCACTTTAATAGCAGCAGTTGTTGTGATGTCTTGTTTTCTAAAACCGGATTGGTGCTCTGATAAAATATCATTTGTGTCCAAGAATAATTTAAGTTGTTCACTGAGAAGCTTTTCAAGGACCTTCGCTACAACACATCATTTTTTAAATTGGCCTATAATTATTAACAGATGAGGGATCCCCTCCTTTCAGTAAAGGAAGAACAAATGTGACCCGCTCTATCGAAATCAGTCGGAAGTCGCAACGTCTCATTTAAAAATAAACGTGGATTTGCGTAAAAAAATAGTTTTTCGGGGTTCGGGTGTTTTGTTTGATTTTAAATAAACAAAGTCTTGGCTTTCAGAATAGGAAACTTTTATTTCCAAAATCACACGATAAATACATTTGTGAAGCTTGTAAGGGGAAGATGACAGGCACCTCTCGCTCGCAATCTGCTCTTCCGTAGCGCAGCCCCCCCTCCCTCCGGCTGAAATTATGAATGTAAGGCGTATAGTAATCATAGATAACACGGCAGGGCCCGTTACAGTTTGTTTTCATCTGATTTCAAATAAACAAAGTCTTGTTCTTTCAGAATATTAAACTTGTTTCGGCAAATTTAGATGATAAATACAACTATGAAGCTTGTAACGGCATATTTACAAGCGGAGAACGGAGTAACTTAACGTCACACAGCAGGCATAACAACAGCCGGTGTTTCTCCTGAGTGTTTTCCCCGGGAAACAAACACAATATACACAAACGCAAAATACAATATACACGTATATACACATACGTATACACACACACGTATACACACACACGTATACACACACACACACGCACACACACACACGTACACACACACACACTCACACTTGCGAGCTTCCCCCAGACCAGTAATCCAAACGAAAATATCTTCCCGCCGTAGTATTTTGATCATTTGCTCCGCTAATAATCAATCAGATCGATGGATTCCAGAGAAGAGGAAACTTTGAAGGCCTTTTTCTCAAAATGATGACTCGGTGACAGTCATTATATAATGTGACATATTTTGCTTAATATTTGGAGTACAACAACAATCCTGATATCATTAGAAAGCTAGGAATCTCCTCTTTCCAACAGTGTATACAACTCAAAATGTGTCTTCGGGTCAATGCGACTGATTTCGATGGAGCAGGTCACATATGCAGATTTCCATATGTTAGGAATCTCATTGTTGAAAAGTGTTAAATTAAAAAGATAAGTAAGCAGCTCAGCTATAAAGTCTGCAGCTAATTTAAGAAAATGAGGAGGAAGTTTGTCTGGACCTGCCGATATGCGTGGATCCAGATTCTGCAATGCTTTGTGGACCTCTATCCCCTTGATAAATGTGAAATTGAATGGCTGAGCCACGGGATGGGATGGAGGTGGTGAGGAATCAACGTTCTGTCCAGGGTCCGAATATAAGGACTCAAACAAAGAACCAGAAGAAATCAAATGTTCATTAAAGCAGTTGAGAATGGCCGATTTGTCAGTGAGAGTTTGCCAGTCTGTAACAATGCAGGCTGGTAATTCATTTTGAGTTTCTGTTCCAAATGAGTTTTGTATTACCTTCCAGAATTTCTTTGGATCATTTAAGTTACTAGTAGTATTAGAAATGTAGTACTCAGATTTAGCCTTTTTAACTCGGAAGGTGAAACGATTTCGGAGCTGTCTAAAAACAATCTAATCCACTTGTGATTAGAAAGCTGCCTGTGAGGACTAAACCAGGGATTCTTTAGCCCTTTCACCCTACATTTGCGGAAAGGAGCACGTTTGTTTATAATTCTAGTAAAAGCCTCATGAAAATAATCCCATGCCAGTTCAACATCACTAATGAGAGAGATCTTGTTCCAATCAAAATCCCACAGGTCATGAAAAAATGCTTGCTCGCAGAAATGTTTAAAATCACGTTTAAAAACTATTTGTGGTCTTGTTTTTGGAAGCTTAGCTTGCCTGATTGTAGCTATAGCGCAATGGTCACTCATATCATTTGCAAAAATACCAATATCCCAAAACTTATGAGGTGCATTTGTTAAACATAAGTCGATAAGAGACGATTTATCTTGGTGTTTAAGTTTAGGACGAGTTGGGCTATTGATAAATTGCGTAAGATTAAAAGAGTCACAGGTTGATTTAAAACTATCGGAGACAGAGGACAACAAGTCCCAGTTAATTCATTAAAACTCATTAAAATCCAAGCAAGATAACTGATGACTCAGTGATGATAAAGCCTCAATGCTTGCTGAAGGGGGTCTATAGCACCCTACAACAGTGATACAATGACCCTTAAGAAGTTCCAATTTCAGCGCAAGTAGTTCAAATTGTCTGCTGAGAGACACAGATGATTGGATGGTAGCATGACATTTTGTTTTTACATAAATTGCAACACCACCACCTTTTCTGGGACGGTCACAACGAAACACATTTAGCTTAGCGGCGGTAATGCTAGCTCGGCCATGCGACCGTAATGTAGTTTGTTTATAGCCTAACATTAGCTTTTTTACTTCTGCTGGTTGAATTTAAGCCTCACAAATCACAAAGTGTTTATCAAAAAAATTCCCATAGCTTTTTGTCGAGAGAGCCTTTGAGATGCTAACTTCCTGAAAAAGTACATCAACACTGCACTAGGGCTGCAACTAACAACTATTTTGATAATCGATTAATCTGTCGATTATTTCTACAATTAATCGGATAAAAAAACGCGGCAAAATGTTTTTTTTCCATTATTTTATTCAGAAAATTGCATTTCCAAATTGACAACATCAACACACAAAAACAACCCAAATGTAGGCTATAAAACATATGCAAAATCTATATAACAGCTTGTTTTTAACAAAAGATATGTCTCTTTAGGTTGCTCGAACAATGATAACTAACCTAACTGTTTTGTTTTTTTAAAGCATTAAAGCATGGTTAGTTATCATTGTTGATTTTTAATAATTTAATAATAATAATATAATATAATAATAATTTTTTAATAATGTATTATTATTTATAACGGCTAAGGTCAATGGACCTGAGCCGTTATAAATAATAATACATTATAAAAAAAAAAAATTAAATTGTAAAAAAAAATAATGACCGGCTCGCTGCACATTATCCGGGTGTCTCAACCCAAACTATTTTCTTCAAATTTGCAAACACTTTGAAATAGCTGAATCCATAAATTGGCATAGTTTAAATAAGTTAAAATAAGTCAAGTTAGTCGGATAATGTGCAGCGAGCCGGTCATCATTGTTCCCGCATCACTGTGGTGCTCCCGAGCCATGCAAGTTCGATTTTACACAGTTTGCAGGTAACACACTTTTTACTGTTGTTTAAAGTGCTCCCACGCTGTTGAAGATTTGAGTCGGACCGTGCTTCTCTAAACCTCCGCCATTTTTCGGATGTCATTTATTTTTGAGTGACGTAGCCAGCTCCGTAAACAGAGAGTAACAACATAGACCAAACAAATCGATAACTGAATTTGTTGCCAACTTTTTTAGCAATCGATTTTTATCTATTTTATCGATTCGTTGTTGCAGCCCTACAGTACACTGCACCACTCGATTGTCATGCCTCTGACATTGTTAACATATTAAGCAGGCCAGTGTTTATGTTTTGTATCTATTTGTGTTTTTCTTACCAGCGTTTTGTACTCCACGTCCTCTCGCAGCAGCCTGTTGTCGTTCAGTGTGTACTTTGCTTTCCCCGTCACAGCGTCCACAGGGCCCTTGTCCACCTGGTGCTTTATGGCTCTGAACAGCATGTAGAAGGACTCCCCTGCTGATTCCTGGCCAAGCATAACGGTCAACAAATGATTAACACAGAATGTAACTTTGAGTGATTCAGTGTGCATCCTGACAACATACCCTCAGAAAGGTAAAGAGGCAGATGGACATCCAGTTTGTCAAAAGCTTCTCCACCACAGATTCCGTTCTGGAATAGAAAAAGTGAACAAATCATTTATAGATGAAATAAGTCAAAAGTTATAAAGATACATTTATAAAGAAACCTACTCCAGCCTTACCTCCTGAGCATCAGTTTGGGGTTCTTGGCCACATACTGTTCCACCAGATCGTTGAGCAGCGTCTTCAGGATGTCAGTGAAGTACTCCAGTTTACCGTGCAGGGCCACCGTCAGCAGAGAGGCCACGTAGGCCCGGTCCCTGGGGGAGAACGTCCGCTGGACCTCCAGAGTGTGAATAAACTGGAGAGTAAAAACAAACAAAGTTAAATTCTGGTGCACATATTTTACTATTCATATTTTTTATTTATTTGTCCTCTTACTGTGTTTATGTTTGCACAAATTCTGAAAAAAATGCGTGGTCTATATTTTAAAGGCTGAAAAATGTTTTACCAGGTGGAAAGAAATAAAGCTTTATTCCAGAATAAGTAACTTTTTTATATGTGAGCACAAGTGGATAAAAAAACGTTTTGGGAGGTTCTTTATTTTTCATACAAGACTTTTTTTTATGTTATTGGGAAAAGTAATGTTTTGGAAAACAAGTTTAGAAACAAATACAATCCCATTCAATTTTACGGGGGAAGACGATCATTTTTCCTTATTCATGAAAAAAAGCATGGGAATATTGATGTGAGCATCTTCCCCAATAACAAAGGATTCCTGTAATGTGGTGCCCACCCTTAAGAAAACTGTTTGTCCAAAAACCTGCTCTGAATATGAAAAAATAGCCCTGCTGTGAGACCTTGGTGAGGAAGAGTTTGCTGTTGAGCAGGTTGGACAGCTGCACCAGCCCCTGCTCCACCGTCTGCCTCCGACTCTCCGGGACGTCCAGATCTCGTCTCAGGGGTGACTCCTGGTGGCCGGGGAAGAAGATGCGCTCTGCGTATGCCCGGTAGTCCAGGAAGGGAATCCCCGAGCCCACCAGATCACTGGACATGTCCATCATCTCCGTCATCAGGTCTGGAGGAGGGGAGGGGAAGAAAAGCCTTGGTTTGTGTACCTTATGACCTTATTATTATTATTATTATTTTATCTTGTCGCTATGTTTACAATTAATGGAAAGAATGAAACTACAAAACCAGGCTCTGTTCTTATGAAACACTGACTTGTTTTGTCCCAACATTTACTCTGCTAAAAATCAATATGTAAGGGCAGTATATGTCAAACCAAACGTAGAAACATGCCATATCGTAAACCTAATCCAAAGCAGTTTATTTAATGTGAGTGAAAGACAGAAAAAAACATAAAGCATAAATAAATAATAATAGTTATAAAAACAACAACAGCCCCAATAGCTATGAAACCAAGTTCATATATATATATATATATATATAATCAAGAATTGATAATATGTATTTAAAAAAAGATATAATATCTGTTAAATCAATATGTTTTAAAATAAAAAGGACAGAATAATTGAAAAAACAACTTAAACTATCCTAAAGTGGGCAAAGTAGGCTATATAACAATATGAATAATGATAATAATAATAATATGGGGGGGTAAAGTTGCACACTAACATACTGTTGCTATGTGCACTTTATTACCATTTCCTGCATTGAAGGCCTCTATATTGCATGTTTTAAATGTTTTTTATAACATTTTGAAATGTATAATTCTCTTTTACGGTGACACCGAAACATCTGTCTAGTGACTACAGACGGCTAACTATGGAGCATTCACAGCAATGATTATGCAACAAAAGAAACACCTGAGCTGAGGCCTGTACTACGAAGCCGGATTTTCCTAACCTGGATATGTTTGAGTTAGCCGGTTGGCCCAATCCAAAACATACGCGCTCTGGCTAAACTGTACTACGACGCTGGTTATCAAGTGGATCGCTCAAGCCAGCCGTGTCCTATCTAGTTAGGTGCGCGCTCACATGAAATGGGTGGTATTTGGAGCATTCGACCAATCTCAAACATGGACAAGCATACTGACAGCGCAGCGTCATACTTCCTGAATGAAAAGTGAACTTTAATATTAGTCAAATATGAAGAAGTTAAAGTTTAAACATCCATGACTTAAACACTTTATCCAGGATAAAAGCCACATAGCTGCACCTGCAAGGTGAATACAGCTGGTAAAAGAAAAAGTGTTTGAATGCGTACATTAACAGGTTTATGATATCACTGCCCCGTCCAAGACACGAGTGGATCTGACTTTAATTACATTTGACTCGAGTGTTTCGTCAACTTAATGTGTTGCTTAAAATAATACTTCTGCATACAGTATGTGACACTGTGAGTGTTGCACGGCCAGATACGGCTCAAGAAGCTGACTCAGATAAGGAAATATATGATACATTATGATGTGATGTGATATGATGTGATATGATGTGATATGAATGATAATGGGACACATCGACGTCTGCACTCACAGTGCCGCGGACTGTACTTGTTACGCTAATGTTATAATAGTCAGATTGCTCTGAAGATGGGAGGGGATATTCTATTAATATGACTTGATAGCTTTAAACTCCACACACGGAGCTCTGATTGGTCAGCAGGCGGTGCTTTCACTGAGTTGATCTCTTAGCCTGCAACCTAACCTGCTCCCGAGGAGGTTAGCCGCTCAGCATAAGTTACCATGGAGATCTAGCCCGCTAAAAAGAGAACCAGCGTCGTAGGACCGGAAAGCCCGAGTTTTCCCTGAAGTCAGCCGGCTAAGCGAAAATCCGGCTTCGTAGTACAGGCCTCTGATGTTATTTTCTAAAGTAAGATTGGTTGGTACCTGTGAACTCCTTCTTACAGCGGTCCCTCACACTGGTCTCCAGGTTCTCCAGTTGGATCTGAACCTTCTTATAGTCCCTCATGGCCTGCTTGCTCTTCCTCCTGATGAACAAAAACAAGGCCGATAACATTTAGGTAGAGAAATAAAGCAGCACTGTGTTAGCAGAAGTAGTACGGAAGCCCTAAGAGGCATGGCAGAAGAAAAAAAAAGTAACATTTTTTTTTGTTCATGACTTCAGAACAGGTGAGAAAGTTAGTTTTTTCCAGGATAATAGTATAAAATAACACATGTTCCTCCCTGAAACATATACACAAAACACTTTGAAAGATGGCCAAAAAGTGTGTATCTATTATTTGAGTAATGCTGTTGTGATAAAAACAAATGTTCTCTAGTGGGAATACTATTTATAAGAATGAATTGCTGTTGTCCCCTAAATTGTGTCATTAGGCTTTCGTAAAAAAGAATAAGAAAAGTATAGTAAAAGACTTTGAGGTAAATCAGTTTAAGTGAAGTGAAGTGTGGTCTGTGTTCACCTGTATATGAGGACTATAATTAGAACGATGAGGGCCACGATGGAGGCCCCCACCCCGACCCCCACCTGGGCCTCCAGAGGAAACGTGGACTGGGCCTGGCTGTCGTACTGCACTCTGCCCAGAGAGAAGTTCAGGTTCCCCATTCTCACCTGAAAAACACAGGGACAGAATTTCTGGGTCATTCTGAATGTAAACGAACACTTTAAATTCCAAATGTATAGTCAAATGTTCTCACTGTGAACTCCGGCAGACTCTCCATGCTGTCCTGCTTCTTCCCGGCAGTGAGTGAGGGCTGCTGAGTCGGCGGTTCACAGTACAGGTGGTTGTGGGTCAGGGTCTTCACGGAACACACCCCCGCCCCGATCCGAGCCTCCACCTCGTGCTTGTAGATGGCCAGATCCAGGTTCTCTCCCTTGATTGAAAAAAGACACAGAATCCAGGATTCATGACAGAGTTTGACCACCATGATTATGTTTGTAGGGAATCTCAGTGTTTCATTGGTCAGATTGCCGTTGGCCCCCACCTCCACGGAGATGATGCTGCCCGGTTTGTGGTGGTACGGCTTGCTGGGGTCGTTCTGGCTCAGCAGGTAGAGCCTCGGGTTGGGCTCGTAGCTGAAGGCCTTGCCCCCGACGGCGCTGAAGTCAAAATGGAGGCTGTCCAACAGGAATTGGACTTTGACCCTGGCCCTCCGGGCCTCTGGGCCCACGGCAGGAGTCGGACACAGGATGAGGGCGGAGCCGTTCACCGTGCAGCCAGACTCATACTGGAGGAAAAGCAACACATAAATACGTTTATCGCTTATATTTCCTGAAATGCCCTCCCTTATACAGGGAGATTCAAAAAATGATCTCACTATTATGAAATGGCTACTATGGGGACTAACATCAAGGGTTCAAGGTTCAAGGTTCAAGGTTCAAGGTTCTTTATTGTCAATCTGACATAGCTACAGAGTAATTATGCAGTTGAAAATCTTATGTCACAGGCTTCTCCAACAATGCAACATAATAACATAACATAATAACAATAAGAGCAAGAGCAATACAAAAATAATAATAGTTATAAAAATGAAATAAAGTTATGATGTGGAATAGTGCAGTATGAGTCTATATACAAGTTATTGGAATGATATATATATATTAGGTATTAGATACATACTACTGAGTAGCAGTTGAATGTTTGAAGTTGTTTCAACAGTTCAATTTTTTAACAGTCTCACTGCCCGCGGGAAGAAACTGTCTCCGAATCTTCTTGTCCTTGCCAGGATGCTGCGGTAACGTCTGCCAGACGGCAACAGAAAGAACAGTTTGTGGCTGGGGTGATGGGGGTCTTTGATAATCCGTAGTGATTTCTTCCTGAGCCGCTGGGAGTAAAGGTCCTCCATGGATGGCAGCTCCGTCCTGGTGATGTGCTGTGCAGTTTTCACCACCCTCTGTAAAGCCTTACGATCGAGGTCGGTGCAGCTGCCGCACCAGGCCGTGATGCTGCCAGTCAGGATGCTCTCTATGGTGCACCTGTAGAAGTTGCAGAGTATCCTGGAATCCATTTTGAACCTCCTCAGCCTGCGGAGGAAGAAGAGCCGCTGTCAAGCTTTCTTGGTGATGGTGGTGGTGTGAAGAGACCATGTCAGGTCCTCAGTGATGTGGACCCCAAGGAACCTGAAGCTTTTGACTCTCTCCACCGTAGTCCCATTGATGGCGATGGGGGCGTGTCCCTCTCCCTGCTGCTTCCTGTAGTCCACAATCAGCTCCTTTGTTTTGCTGATGTTGAGATGGAGGTTGTTCTCCTGGCACCAAGATGTCAGGTTTTCGACCTCCTCTCTGTACGCCGTCTCGTCATCGTCTGTGATCTGGCCGATGACGGTCGTGTCATCAGCAAACTTCACGATGGTGTTGGAGCTGTGTGTGGCCACGCAGTCGTGTGTGAACAGGGAGTAGAGGAGAGGGCTGAGCACGCAGCCTTGAGGGGCACCGGTGTTGAGAATCAGGGTGGAGGATGTGATATTTCCCACCCGCACTGCCTGGGGTCTGCCCGTCAGGAAGTTCAGGATCCAGTCACAGAGGGCGCTGTTGAGCCCGAGGTCTCTGAGCTTGATGGCCAGCTTGGAGGGCACAATGGTGTTGAATGCTGAACTGTAGTCAATGAACAGCATTCTCACATATGTGTTCCTGTTCTTCGGGTCCAGGTGTGAGAGGGCAGTGTGGAGGGTGAGGGCTATGGCGTCGTCTGTGGACCTGTTTGCTCTGTAGGCAAACTGCAGGGGGTCCAGAGATTCAGGGAGGGAGGAGGTGATGAATAATTTGACTAACCGCTCAAAGCACTTCATTATGATGGAGGTGAGTGCTACTGGGCGGTAGTCGTTGGGGCAGGTGATGATTGTCTTTTTGGGGACAGGAATGATGGTGGAGTGTTTAAGACATGTGGGGACTACAGACTGCAACAGGGACCTGTTGAAGATGTCTGTGAACACCTCTGCCAGCTGAACTGCACACACCCTGAGAACACGGCCAGGGATGCCATCAGGTCCAGGAGCCTTGTGTGGGTTAACCCTTTTAAAGGATTTACACACATCTGCCCTGTTTAAAACAAAAGGGCAGGGCTCCTGGTCCCTCTGTACCTCCACAGCCTGGCTGCTCTCAAAGCGTGCAAAAAAACTGTTTAGCTCATCTGGGAGAGATGCGCACGCAGACACTCCCGCAGCACCCCCCGCTGCTCCTTTGTAGTCAGTCATTGTCCTTAGTCCCGCCCACATATTCCTAGTGTTACAGCCTTTGAAGTCAGATTCCACCTTGTCTTTGTACTGTCTCTTTGCATTTTTTATTGCTCTCCGGAGATCATACCTAGACTTCCTGTACTCCTCCAAATCTCCCGCTGTGTGCGCGAGAGTGCGCGCTTTCAGTTTGCCGCGCACCTCACCGTTTACCCAGGGCTTTTGATTTGGGAATGTCCGTACAGAAACCTTCGGTACCACGTCATCGATGCATTTCCCAATGTAGCAGATGACAGTGTCCGTGTGTGTGTTGATGTTATTGTCCTCAAACACACTCCAATCCGTAGATGCAAAGCAATCCTGCAGTGCTGAATCTGACTCCACGCTCCATCGTTGTACTGTCCTTGTTATCGGTCTGTCCCTTTTAAGTTTCTGCTTGTAAGCAGGCAACAACAGTAGTGAGATATGGTCTGATTTGCCGAAGGGAGGGCGAGGGAGAGCCTTATATCCATTCCGGAAAGGGGAATAAACATGGTCCAGTATGTTTCCCCCGCGCGTCGGGAAGTTGATGTGTTGGTAATATTTTGGCAAAACCTTCTTCATGTTGGCGGTGTTGAAATCTCCGGCCACAACGAACGCCGCATCTGGCCGTGAAGTCTCGGTTTTATCAATAAACCCAAACAGCTGATCGAGTGCCGTGTTGTTGTCGGCGAGTGGCTGCGGCGGGATATACACTGCTGTTATCACAACAGATGTGAATTCCCTCGGCAGATGGAAGGCCCGACATGAGATCATGAGGTGCTCTAGCTGTGCGGAACAGTCCGATGAAATAATCTTCACATCTGAGCACCAGTTAGCAGTCCGGTCCTGACGAAAAATAGAGAATCCGTCAGGGACAATAGCGGAGTCCGGGATAGCGGGGTTGAGCCAAGTCTCAGTGAGAATTAACACGTTACAGTTCTTAATGTCCCGTTGAAAAGCAATCCGGCTTCTGAGTTCATCTAGCTTATTTTCAATGGATTGAACATTAGCCAGAAGAATACTCGGAAGAGGGGGCCGATTCTCACGTTTTCTCAGTCTGACCAGCAACCCGGCCCGGCATCCCCGCTTTGTCTTCTTCTTGCGTCTCTCAGGTAGAACAGCAACAGGTAGCCATGGTGGATCTCCATTGTTTGTCATCATCACACATGATAACAATTAGTCTCAATAGATCCACAAGAGCCCCAGATTTACCAGTCATAATGCATTTCCAAGGCTGTTCAAAGACAACAGTCTGAAAACATTTGATAAATAACTGAAAGAGGACATCTTTTTGCTGTTTGCAAACATGCAAGATTTTTGCCCCAGGATGCATCGGATGAGCATAAATATGGCGTGTTTGTAGGGAATTCTTATTGGTATATTGATATAACAAATGTTCCTTCACATATCGTGCCACAAAAGGTCAAGGAGCCCTGTGAATATGGCCATGCTAGTTTTTTCTTCGAGCTGTCCGTCTTCTTTTTGGTGGCCTTGTTGCAGACAAAGAAGCATGACATTATTGGTACATGGATTCCTGAGGGGTTTTTTGTTTCATTTGGGATCTGTATCAAATGAGCCTACTACATCCTCTGAAAGACAGAATGTGGAGCAGCAACCTGTTGGATTCTTAAGAGACAATAAAATAACATAAAATGCACATGTTTAGAAGAGGAGTTCATTTCTCTCTCTGTGTGGAGCGTACCTGTTTGACGTGACAGAGCGTTCCCTCGGGGCACTCTGCCTCTGGGACGATCCTCCTCCATCTCTTCATGCTCCCCCGGTGATCCCGTCCTCTGCTCAGACTCCTTCCACCCCTCCCTCTGATGCTCCTTCTCCTCCTGGGGGGGAGGGTGTCAGGAGGACTGAGGGTCACCCTCATCTTGGGCTCCTGGACCACATCCAGGTTCTGCCCGGAGACTCTGATGATACGCCCTCCACTGCAGAGGGAAAGAAGAAAATAACATTAGAATAGTTTCTTCATTACATTCAAGTTAAGATCTAAAAAAAATAACATTAATGACAGTTCCCTACTTACATTTTTGGAGCATAAGCATTTTTATTGAACCATATTTCTCTTGTAATAATTGTCTTGGACGATATATAATCTAAAGTATATAAAAAAACGTTTTAAAAACCCCAAAATTGAATATGTAGTAGTTCTGTCATAACATGAGCAAAATATATATTCATTTCAGATTGCTCTGTTTACACTGATAAGCACCTGAGAAAGCTTTTAGAGGGTGAAGCCATGGAGATGTTGGGGTTGGGGGTGTAGTGATACACCAGACCCTGCAGGTGGCGCTCCGTGCCTCCGAACCGCACGATGATGCCATGTCCCCCGGTTCTGTTGCTGCCTTTGGTCAGACAGCTGATGTGATCCTCCTGGATGTTCGGCCTGAACAGAAACACACATTATGACCCACTTTCCAGTCATTTACACAAAGTATGTTTTTAATAGTTATCACAGTGGTGCAGGGATGACACTATTTTGCAATGGCTCCCTAAACAAAACCTCAATTCGATTGAGTTTTTGGGTTATTGCAGAAAATAAGATCTGTGGCAAACACATGTCTATTATACCTACACATTTTGTTCAGCAGGATAATCTCCACATATTAACACCTTTATAATTGGTTGAAGCGAAACGCAATTGTCAGAATTAAAGCTAATGTTTGGCTATAAACAGTCACATGACTTCACTGCTAAGCTAAAGTCTGCTAATAAACTAATTTTGTTTTTGGGAACATTTCACATTCACAAGAAGAAATTGACTCACTCTTAACCCAATTGTGCCCATTTGAACTTAGAATTACAACAATATGGCACAACTTAAAAAAATATTAGAAATAAAAAAGCAATAGAAACCAAATTTGTATTTGATAAATACTTGATGTCTTTATTTATGTATATATATATATTTTTAAATATAGTTTTGTTCTTTGACTCTGTGTGTGTACCTGTGTGGATAAAATTATAATTAAAAAACATTTTGTATTTAGCCACCGACGTTTGTATGACACATCAAGGTGTTTACTGACATACGTTATGTTGTAAAACCAAGAAAATAACTTGTCTAACCATAGATATGTTTCATAACTCATACACAAATACATAAGACTTTAACAGGAGGGAACCCATTGATAAAGTGCTAAAATGCGGACTCATTTCCAAGTTTAGGACTCCTGAACTATTAGCAACACTTACTCTACACATAGAACCCCTCCGATGAAGACTTTGACATCCCTGGCGTGTCCCGTCCTCAGTCTCCGGCCCCTGATGGTGAAGGAGGAGCCCCCCGCTTTGGGGCCTCTCTGGGGGGAGATGCTGCTCAAAACAGGATCCTGGTGATGGAGAGGAGATGAATGAGAAAGATAAAAAGGGAAGAGAGTGAGAGACAGGATAAAAAGGTGTAATCAATAATGAGCGGGTGATTTATTGGGGAGATAAAATGGACACAGGGGCATTCTGGGAAACACTGGAGGGCTGCCTCACAGCTAGATTGTATAATTAATTAGCCTGTCACTTGGGCTAATTAATTAAGACCGCTAGTCCTTTTACTGCAATGTAAATAAGGCACTTTATTACATCACAGGGCCACTTACATTTACAACGCCGCATTTCAAGTGAAGCATTATTACCAAGAGATATGTGAGAGCTGTCCTTTACTTAATTAATCAGAAATAATCTTTATCTTTCATGGAAACAAACACATTTAACAGCTACAATGGTGGACTCTTAGAACAGTGGGTCTCAAAGTGTTTTCAATAATGTACCCCCTTTGAAAAACAATGTCAGCCAAGTACCCCCTGATCAGCACAAAAACTATTTGTTAGGGACAAAATGCCTATATAAAGAGGTACAGTACAGCGCTGCACCATCGGTGTCTGATTTATTAAAACAACAACCTTGTAACTGAGAAACACTTAAATGCTATATTTCAAATGTTTACAATCCATCACTAAATTCATGGCAAACCAATTTTAACATCATGCAATAACACTAAGATGACATTAGCTGCATTGAACTGATCTTTTTAATAAGTTGTACTTTCAATGTAGTGAGAAACATGGGCTTGTGCTTCACTGTGGATCTTTGTCATTCTGACAGGGAGGCAAGTGCAGTTATTACACTTCGCGTTTTGAAATATGTACAACTCTGTTAATATAAAACCCACACTGCTCAAACTTTGTTACTTTTTCTAAAATTGGTATATTTATTTATTTTGGGGCATGGGGAATGAAGAGAAAAATATATATGAGCATTTATACCTATAACCGCCAGACGGGTAAACTTTTGAATAAAGTAGTTAATCTACTATTAGTAGTTTGTTTAAATGTATTACATGTGTTGTTTTTTTCATTAACATAAAATAAATCTCACGTAACCCCTGCAGTACTCCAACGTACCCCTAGGGGTCCACGTACCCCCATTTGAGAACCACTGTCTTAGAACATGCTTCCTTTAGTTCAGTTACAGTTGTATCTGTTCATAAAAATAAATAATTTTTCATTTTAAAATGGTGCTACTGTCATGAAACCTAAACCCCCAAGATTAATAATAGTAAAACCTCTCTGCTTTTAACTTATGAACCCAGTAGAACCCTCAGTTCTTCTGATACTGGCCATTTTAAATATTGCTAAAATTAATGATGTGACCAACCTTTTGATTTTGGCTTTTAATTGAATTGTATTTACTGTATGATGATTTCATTTTTTGAAATGTAATTCAAATTAATTGTTTTATTGTATTATCTTATTTTCTTCTATTTTTTTTATTCAGTCCTTTGTTTATTGACTTTTGTTGGATTTAAGTGTTTTTCATCAATCACAAAGTTGTGTGTTATACTTACCTGGAAGTAGTAGTGTTTTTATTTATTTTTATTTTTTTGGTTTGTGAAATGCTTCATGTCACCTTTTGTGTATGAAAAGCGCTATATAAATAAAGTTTGATTTGATTTGCGCTGTGAGGACAAGCTTCGCTAAATTAAGTGTGAATCCAAACCTACTGAAATGATACACACATTTGCATGGACACTTTTTTTCTCCAATCTTTCTTTACCTGGAATCTGAAGATCTGAGCAGAGAGTCCGAGTCCCCCCCCCCTCACTTTGACCGAGGCCAGGCCGCTCTTCTCCCCTCCACTGCTGGTGGTCTCACACACTATCCTACAAGGTGAGGACATGTAGTTGTCATGGTTAGAAAGAGCTGGAGAAGCTTTAGCTTCAGATTATGATCGGGTTAAGTCTCCACTTGCCTGGAGGAGACTTCATATCTGCTGCTGATGACGCTGCAGGGGACCCCCGCCACGGTGACCGAGTTCTGGATGTCTTCAGCCCTCTGGCCCAGGTTAGAGCCTGAAATTGTCACAACCGTGCCCCCCTCTATGGGACCGGACACCGGGTCCAACTGGAACACAACGGGAGCAAACAGAGGGAATTCATATCCTGTCTATGTCGTCTTGTTTTAACATCACATGGTAGCATGACATCTAGTAGGGATGTACTATTTAGCACAAGGTTCAATACATTATATGGAGCTGTGTGATTACTAGCAGGATAACAATGTGACAACGCATTTCAAAACAAAGCACTATATATTATAGGTAGAGGAACTGCCATGATTTTCTTGTTGGTTTTCATCTAGGCTTCTTTCATTGAATGTCTTTGTTTTAAATGCAGCAGGTGGACACCTTAATATGTAAACCAAATAGTGTTTGATTTTAATTAATGTATTAAACTAAAACAGTTAACTTGCTGCTGTCTTGCCCCCCCGTCAGCAGCAGTGCATTGCTTTTCTTGTTCTGCTGGTTATTGTCAGTTTTTTCCTAATTTGCATGGCAGTTGGCAATAGTCTAATGTGGAGGTAACACAACGCCCACATCCCACAGTCAGGATGAGACGGCAATTCAAATCGCATTGTGCTTGCTTTTTTCCATGACAGTGACAATAAATAAATAAAATCTTTCAGAATTAATTTATTTTCCCCCTTCACTCATTGCTCCTACTTTCGCTCTCCAAAAAAGTGCTTACGAAGTGAATGACGGGTGCAGGGCAGGAGTGTTTGACGTCGTCGCTGCAGGAGTCCTGGAACACGCAGTGAGAGCCGGCGGCCCCCCCCGCACCACACACAGCCGTACTTCGGGTCGGCTGTTCTACACCGGCTGCAGTCGGACCGCCCCACAGAACAATTAAACAGGGTCACTGAAACAAGGGAGAGAAAATACATTAATAGATGTCAAAAAAAGATACGTAATACTTTTAGGGATTACATGTAACTGGAGTACTATCAGGATACAATACAAGGTAATCCCTTACAGTTACATAAAAAAAGACGTAATCTGATCACTTTTACATTTTAAACATTGGGGATCACTAGCAGGAGTGTTTGTTGTAAAAGGATCAGATGTTATCTCTTCTCTGTAAGTTGTACTGTTCTGTAGGCTAATACTTTAAGTGTGAATCTATACGCCTACTGCCTGCATCTGCTTTATGGTTTTCAATTCAGTATGTGAACCTGTATGTTCATACAATAGTGTGTGAGCTTAACTGTGTGTATTCAACTAAAACAGAGCTTTTTCTGTCAACTCAGATTTTAAACTGTAGTTTCTGCTTGATGCCTGATTATGCTTGATGAAAGGCAGCTTTTCCTATGAATCAAATCCTTTTTGATACTCAATATCTTGGTTTCTTGTTTTTTCTAAGGTCACATTGAAACATTAAGGTCATTTAACAGGATGTAATACATCACTTGTATATTCTGATACTCAGATTAGATTACACACCGTACAGATCCTCAGTGCTGTCGATGAGGAAGTTGTTTTTTCTCCTCACGTTGATCATGGCGGGGTATTCCTCCAATAAGGCAGAATAGGCATACTGAAACAAGGAAAGCAAATAACAGTCAACACAGCACAAGTTGAGATATGGAAAATCAGGTGATGTTATGCACATCCATGAACAATTCAGATCTGGCTATGAGAGATAATGAACCACACTGCTGGAAACAGACATGTGTGATTAAGAGAGAGCAGTTAATGGATGTTTTTAATACAGCATGCCGCTGGCAGAATTGGTGTTGATTATGACCTTTGTTTTAATTTACATCTTTTATGAATGCTACCAGGCGGGTGGAGTTTACTCCATCAGATATACACAGACAAAGAAGTTGTTAATAGTTACTGTTGCAGTTTAATAGTTGCTTAGAAAATGTTTTTATTGCTGCTTTATATCAAATAAAAAAATGTTGCCAAAACAAAATCTAACTTTTTTTTTTAAATTTGCAATAAATCATGTATTCGTATCTGATAAAGAATACTTGCGTTGCTAAATATAGACAGTGTATATAGACAGTGTCCTCTACAGAAAATCCACTAAGAAAAAATGATATATTAAAAATGCATACAATATGTTATAAATTCACCTGTATAATACATGTTGATGTACTTTGTGAAAGAGGCCTAGAATCATATGATTTCAATCAGTTGAAAAGTCAGTATTATTTCAAATTGCAGATCAATATCTAGTTTTTCTCACTGTATGATTTAGTCATGAATGTTATATTATTGGGGAAATATCTTCAAGCATCTGAAAATACTTTTTCAATGGCTTTAAAGAAAGTCAAGACTGCATTATGTTCAGACTTGAAGAGTGTAGAGAAAACACAATAACACACAGAGAAATGACTGTAATGAGATGTGTTCTGACCTGGTGGGGTTGGCAGGTGATGGAGAACACTGATGGGTTTGTAGCATCCGGCTCCACGGAGGCCTCCACCACCACCGACTGGTTCTCAATGTCCAACACACACTCGTAGTCCAGATTCTCATCCTAAAGTACACAGACACACATATTTGTATATAAACACACTTTGTCAGTACAGTTAGGTGTGAACATTGGGATTTGTTCTGCCTGTCACCGTACAGTACCACACTGCAAAGCTGATTTTTCAGATTTCATTAAAAGAAAAACAAGACACCTAACATGATAATGCCCTTTTAATTTGGCAGTAATTATCCCTCCTTAACAACAGTTTGCAACAAAACCTATAATGGCACATTGGGGCTATTTTAGATTAGAAAACAATAAATGACATTGGGGGAAAGGGGGTATATTCTGAAGAAAAACTCCTGATCTACGAGAGGGAAAAAACTTGAACATTTCCTGAGATTTAAAGAGTAAATGTAAGAGAGAAAACACACACAATTACAAGGAAAAAAAACTGAAATATTATCTTAAACATAAGACTTAATCCAAGGAATTCACACTTTTCTTCCTATAACATTGTCCCCTCCCCCAGCGGCATATTTAAACATATATATTAAATATAAATAAACAATATGCACCTTTATGTCCTTAAACAATAAATATACTTTCCAGAATGTGTGCAAAGTTTGTAATTAATGCTGGTAAAAAAACGTTACATACTTACTCATCAATACCATGTTAACATGTCCCTAACATACTGAACACTGCTTTAATGCTCCCTTTAAGAAGTCAAGGGGGTGATGAGCTTTGTTGGGCTCCGTTACCTGGAAGAGGTGGAGGTGTTGTCCCAGCAGAGTGACCTTCCTCTCCACGTTGACTGGGAGCAGAGAGGAATCCTGTACCTTCTCCACACACGGACACTCCTGATGACACATGATGAATCATTAGTGAGAAATAAATATATACACAGGGACAAGGACATGTAGCCATGAATCTATATCTGCTTAAAAGTATCCCTGTGAGCTGTGTCCATTATATAATCATTGACATGCATTATGTGATTGAATTACACTAGATGTTTGAATACTTACATTTGAAAATGTCTCCTAATAAAACTTGTTTTTCCCAAACTTGTTTCTCAGATAAAACAAATAATACAATCATGGAACTTTTATTTTATAAAAGAGTTAGCATGTCACAATGTCTAAAATAATATTGTAAATTAAAGAGTTGTTTTTTTAACATGAACAGCGTTTCCCTGAAATGTTGCTATCAGCTGCATAAAATCATTCCCCCTCCCCCAACAAAACATTCCAGGTAAATATCTGATGCACCTCAACTCATCTTTGATTTATATACTGTAATAAAAAAGTGCATTTTCTAATGATTTACAGAAAATCCAACATGGGAAAAGCTACCCAACGGATATGGATACCTAGCTCAGGAACTATGAAGATGCAAGAACAGCAAACAAAACATGAAACTAAAAGGAAACAACAACTAACAGGTCATAACCACAAAGACACAACAACAGCCATGAATGACGTGCAAGTAAAACACAAGGCCTGCAGGAGAAAATAAAGCTGTCTTTGGGTGACATGAAGATAAATGATATGGAGAGTGTGGAATCATTCTGTCAGGTCAGTGCCTCGGATTGATCAGTTCTGTCCTCGAACAGTCACCCTCCTTCTCATCTACAAGAGAGCTAATAAAGACAGTAGCAATACAAGTTTGGTATGCAATATTTTGTATTGATGTCAAATAAGTCCTAAGAAGATGTACTGCTTATATTTACTGTACAAAGACATGTTAGATAGTATGTGAGAAATCGAGAGAGAAATGAATAAACTAATAAATACTTTGATATAATGCCGGCTCGAAAACTGAAATGCTCGCGGCTACAGTGTCGACAGTGTTTGTTATTGTATTCATTATCTTATCAATCAATTATCTTATTGTAGTTTTAATTTTATGTTATTTTATTATCACTTATTTTATTGTATTTAAATATCCTTATTGTATTATATATTTGTTTTTTTGTTTACAGTTTTAATGCTTTAAATGTTGTTTAATAGTTAAATGTCTTATGTTTATGTAAATAGTTGTATTTTAAATGTTATTGGTCCTTTAACTTAAACTTCTCATGTTTATATAATATACCTTTTTGTTTTATTGTATCTTTTTATTGGACGGTATTTCAACTTCTATATATATATATATATATATATATATATATATATATATATATATATATATATATATATATATATATATATATATATATATATATATATATATATATATATATATTTCTATTCAATTTATTGATTTATTTAATAAAACAATTTAGCACTTTTACTAAGAGAATAACAAAATAAATCCTTAAATATTTGTCTAATGGTAACTGCAGGATATCTAGACCATCTTCACACTTGGTTTCAGCACTCACCCTGAAGTAAGAATCAGAGGAGGAATCTGATTGGTAGTTATCTTCAGATTCAGAGTTGGACTCAGTAAATATGTCGGTTGTTTGTGTGGCGATGAGCGGCATTTCTCTGGGGCTCGACTCTGCAATGGAGGAACCTGTAGCAGAATCTGCCTCAGACACTTCCTCCTCCTTCTCCCATGGAGCTGTCTGACTCTCTGCACGCTCCGCATGGTCCCTGAGATGCAGCTCTGTGAGAGGGACCACATCACTGGAGCTGGTGGAGCTCACTTCAGAGTACACCGCTTCCTCAGTCGGCTCTAAATTAGAGTCTACATAACCACTAGTGCTGCTGGGTAATATAGTTTGGGGAGTTTTCTCAGTGATATTCAAGGTTTCAGTCTCTGCATCCTCTGAAAAAGCTCCTGCAGTGCTTCCATCCGTCGCCCCCCAGCCTCCTGAGGTGGAGGTGTGTGTGGTGGTGGCCTGGCTGAAGACCCTGACAAAGGGGGAGGTTGTTTCCAGCGTAAGGGGGGAGGTGGGTTCAGCTTGAAGGGTGGTGGGTGGTGTCACTGTAGTGGAAGTTGTAAGGACAGCTGCCGTGGTGGGAGTGGGTGTCTCTGCAGGTGGTGGCTCTGTTGTTGTTTGTGCGGTTGTTGTTGTGGTGGTTGTTGTGGCCGGGACGGTGGGAGGTAAAGTGGTGGGTGGTGGGATGGTGGGTGTGGGCGGTTTGAACTTGACGATGGGAGAAGAACAAAGGAACATGCAAGAAAAGGGGAAGACAAGAAAAAAAAAGCAGGGGGAGGAAAAAATTAGGATAACACATAAGGGTAACTTAAGGAAGCAACTTATGAATACAAAAAAATAAAATCATGGTAAAACAGTACTTAAAAAGACAAAACTACAACAAACACACATGCAGGGACTCATATGTATACAGTATGATACATGCTCCTCTACAGATCTAACCTTTAAAATCTCTAAAACCTCATTTCCACACACTGTTTACCCTAATATATATTTTACAGGAAAGCGAGACATTTTCATCGGTTGATGACAAGGAATTGTATCCGTTATGTAGCCAAATTAAGTTCTGTTTTCTGTCGCAAAATAAAGTTTTAATTTTCTGTTTTTTTTCATTTGTTCCTGGCTGATTTTCAGGTTGTTGCCGAAATAGCAACAACTCCATGCATTCAAGAACCCTTTACTCGGAGTGAATGATTTTCTATGAAAAAACCTCTCTTGTAGATTAGTCATAGACAATCATGATACAAGTTGTAGCATGACGCATGTTTTACTAGAGAGCACATGTTCTGTGATGTGAATGTTGTACATAGACGCAGCACAATGTTGATGCCAAAACGATACACAACCCTAATTGGATTTCATTCAAATGATTAGCACCCTCATGAATGTAAATGGGGTGGAAAATATGATGGAATAATATTTAACAGTACCAAAAACTCCATTAACATCCTATGATAGAAGTAGCACCCCTTTAAATATTTATCAATATCGAAAGCCTTCCTTTAAATGCACACTCACATTCTGGTTGTAGATGGTGACTCCTCGGCTGCAGGTGTGTGTGTGTGTGCAGATGTGCTGGTGGATGCACCAGTTACACCCCCAGCGGCTGCTCACACACCCTTGGCATCTAGAAGAATAAACAGTGGGGGGACAGGCAGAACAACAGAAAATGGAAATTAGTGGCAATACACATTTTAGAACACTTGCTCCTGATTTGCTTTTCTTACAGCAGAAAAAACATGACCTCTACCAACCACACATTTTTGTAAATGTTTACTATTTTAAATAATGTTTTCAGAGGATACAAGCTGTATACAGTACACCTATGTAGTAGACACAGAAAGTATTTTCTAGATTTGTATAACTTAGTTCAGTTTAGTAGGTGAACATAATCTAAAATACAGATAAAATAATAGTAAATAAACAATAATAATTCAATGCTTTTGAAGTAGGGACAAACCAAAGCAGCCTTGTCTTATTTCACAGACCCTTTCATGTTTTAATAATGTTGTAAGATTCTCAAAACATGTATAAATTGTGGTCAAACCATGTTATTTTATTTATTTTATAATTATTTATTTTAAATCACATTTTAGATATTTTATAAAGTTATTACAAAATATGTGTTTATTGTTATAATGGTTTACACTAATTTGGAACGACATGCAACTTTACTTTATACATACAAATATGCAGTTTTTAGAGATAACCAAACATATGTTGGTATGGTACATGACATCTACTCTTAGTTTACAATTCGTATAGCTTTATGTGGCATAACAATGTATTTTATGTTGTGCAATATTACAATGAGCTTCTTCAATTTTATCAACTTGATTTTTATGATTTCCAGAATAGGTTAAGGGTATTTTTGAATAACCGATTGATAGATTAGATGTGAGTAATATGTGTTGAGTACTCACGGTCTGCGTCCGGAGAGCTGTTGGACCAAGCTGCAGTTGTAGAAAGTGAATTCGGTTTCTGCCACCGTCACATTGGTAAAGCGCAGTGACAGGGTCACCATCACAAACTCTGTATGGGAATAAAAAACATGCGTCAACTTCCAATTATCTCACCACCTTCTCATAAGCATTATAGTTTGTGTTTCCTTTCAAACTATTTTGATTGTTTGGTATTTTCTGAAAATATTTTGTTGTGGGTACAATTGCTGGCCAAATACAAGACACTCACCATCTCCATGGCCAATGGGGGGCAGTCGGCTGGCATCGGGGGTGGGGCATGTGACACCAGTGTCAGTGACTGAGGCAGGAACTTCTGTGTCCTGGAAGAAGCAAGAGTAGGCCTCTCCTTTTCCCAGGCTGGGGAGGCCCTCGACTGATACTGCGATCTGAGGGAGGGAGAAAGGACGTAAAGAGAAGAAAGGAAAGGAAGTGAGCAGGACAGGAGACTCCTAGTACTAGGATGGGTTAAAAGCAGAGGCCAAATTTCACTGTGTGTGCTGTGTGTTCTGCATGTGTGAGTGACCATTAAAGAGGGTTTCATCCCTCCGATTCTATTCTATTCATCTAAACTAGTGATGAAACTTCTCCAGTTGATAATGTACATAAGGGTATTATTATTGTATTACAAGTTTACACATCCAGAATATGGTAGAGCCAGGTAAAACATTATCGCTTGTTTTGTTGACATACAGTCAAAGGACTCCTAAAGAGAAAATATTGGATATTACATTTTTTCTATCACTCCATGAATCAGAAAATATAAGGGTTTGGATGTGCAAATGTGGCATTATCTATTGTGAACTATTGGTGAATTTGTCTGAAAGAAGACATTTAAGGATATAGTATAGCCCTTAAAATTGACCAGTCCATGACAAGATAATAGTTTGCCTGTAGTTTCTTGGCTTCAATTTACCGTGTTTTATAGAACTAAAACTCTAATGGATCAGATGGAGAGAGCAAAGAAAGAGTGCCACATAGTAGTCTATTATTGTGCATTAATCCCATCTGTTCCCCACTCTTCCCCCCTGCATTACATCCGTTTTCTCCCCGCGGCTGATGTTGTACTGGCTGAGGTGCTGGATATTGAGGCACTGCTGCATCTGGTTGAAGCTCCACAGCCACTGGCCCTGCGTGGAGCCTCGCTGGCACTCCCAGCGCTGGCCACACCTGAAAAAACACAAGGAGGTCAGAAGGACGAAGACAAAAAGTAGACGGGATGCATGAGAACATTCGCAGTAGCTCCACTGACTCACCGTCCCTCCAGGACACACCAGCCACAATAGGGGTCTTTGGCAGACAGACACGACTGACAGTCAAGGTGGACTCCACATTCTGCCACTGGACGCTTCTCTACCTAAAATATACAAAAAATAAGTTAGGGTTAGTACGTGAAGAAAAAAATGATGCATAACGTGGTTTTATATGTGTATCTGTGTCAATTGTTTTTTATAAAAGAACATAATTAATGGCATTAAATACCTAATAACTTCTTTAATTCATGAAATTGCCTTCATGGTAGCCAATGGGCTTACTACCTTATATTAAAAGCTACAGGAAAGTCAAGTAATGTTAACGTTTTTTATTCTTTAAAATGTTTTAAAATTCTTTCACTTTAGGCCATCGATAGTATGGAAGTCAACACCATACTAATTGTGGACTGACTGAAAAGCAGAACAACTAGCTAACGTTAGCAATAGCCTTTCTGAGCATCACAATTCAAACTTGCTGAATTAGCCCATCTATGCTAGGTAGTTGTCTTCTAGTACGCTATACTAAGCTACAAATTAACAATGAATTTGCAGCTACTAATGACAGTGTGAAGGTCCTAACTTTTTATGTCATTTATTTGACTTATTGCTTCTTCTTTCAATGTGTAAGCTTAACTTAGTGCTCGGATGTTAAAGTTGAATCATGCTAGTTATCTATCATTTGCTAAGATAGCTTATGATGCTAACTTACTTCAAAGTAGCCGTAACATTACTAGCTAACTCACAGCTATCTAGCTAGCTTTATATCATAAACATAGTTGAGTTTTGTAGTTATCTTGACAAATATAAGTTGAACAAAAACAATAGGAGCTGGCGTTAATATATTCTGAAACAGTTGATTTAATAGTATTAAATAGTATTAACTTTTGCCTAGTTATGCTTATAGCATTATTGCATTATTATGGTTCATTATCTTTGCTGACATTCCTTAAAATAATTTTGACTGAAAGAAATTACATTTAAATTGGTTAAAGACACTTTATTAGTAGCTGTATGACAATGGAATGCTTATAATCCTAATGATTTGGTTTTACTTGAATGCATGTTAAATATAACTGGAGGCTCCAGCTCTACACTCAAATCAAGATGTTCAGTTTGTGACACAAGCCATTCAATGTATAGACTGGCAGTTTCCCACATTCATCCATCAGCATGTATGGCTACCCACACAGGCACTCTGTTGGGAGTGTGCCAATACAATAGACGCCACTTTCTCTGATCAATACCATTGTTATGTCAGACTTTATACCTCCAGCTGACTGTTGTGCCCAACACACTGGGGTTAGTCACCTTTGACCTCAAACAGCCAGCTGGCCTCTTCATTTCCTCTTATGTTCTTTGCCTCTTATTCTTTTATCCTATTTTTCTGATGAAAGGGACACAGCTTGAGGAAGTATCAAAGCCTGACAAAACTCTGACAAACGATAAATTGTCTGACTATGAAAGACAAGCAATGTTCAGTCTCGTGTAAGGAGACATCTGCGGTGAGTCTTTGAATGGATAGACGCACCAAGAAGAGTATTGCTGTTTGGAAGCTACATCTGTTCAGTAGTTCAAAGAAAAAACATACGAAAAATTTGGAAATAAATAATCTGCTGGACTTCATACTTTTTTTAAAACAAATATAACATTTACCAGCTCTAACTGTCCAAAACATCAACAGCGTTTTAGGGCCAGTCTAGGTTTGTAATTTCTAATGTTAAAGTTGTTTATTTAAGTGGAAAAAAACGTGGATATTCCTAAAGGTTAAAAGGTAAATTAGGAATTAACTCACAAATAAAACCATTAAGAACTCAAGTATTCTTGCAAGGTTGGATCAACCTCATTCACCTAAAACGACCCTAATAAGCAATTGTTTAACACAGTGTTAGTTCATTTGAATACTTACAGTAGTTTTGGTCATGATGTAGATGTATGCTCCATTCTGGTCTAATAAAAGGTCACTTTTAATGGGGGAGTTGGGCTGGATCGTCGTGTTTGCATATACCTCCACCCGGCCATCTTGGCCCAGATATACCTGAAAAAGTACACAAAAAAAACAACAGACACTTAGAAATCTATCTATATATGATATATATCATGCATATGACTTACAAGAAACTTGGTTTATTCCTCACACTGCAAGACTAAAATAAAGACCAGACAGACAAGAAAATAATGCGAAAAGGAATATCTTGTTCAGTTTACAGCTCCATGGCAAATCAAATCACGATTGAGCAGGATCGCAGGAGAAGTGGCCATGAATGTGATTATGGCACAGTCAAATCTAATATGAGTCACAGGGAGACACCTCTGGCTTAAGTGATTCCCAGGCCTTCAAACTCTCATGTTACCTCATGCTAATGAGATTAGCAGAGGTTTTCATGCCTCTTTCCAGAAGGCTCTCACTTGATCACTGTGAACAGGATGGAGAATCAGTTGGCCCATTAGGAGGATGCACTCAACACATAATGGCATGGGAAGTAGCCCTGTATTGCTTGCTACTTGGAAACATTCATGTAGTTTGTCATGTCGCATGACAGGTTTTGTAAAACTGAGTTGAACGACACTTCTATAGGAGATTAAGATAGGTAGACAAACAGGAAAACATTGGTAGCTTTAAGAACTTTTAAGAAGGCCCTATTATGCTTTTTGGGGTTTTCCCTTTCCTGTAGTGTTGTTAGTTATATAAGTTGTTTGTGCATGTAAATGTTCTGCAAAAGCTAAGCACTCCGACACATTGTTTCTGATAGGCTCAGAGGTGGGACAAGTGGTTGATCAAACATAACAGAGCCGGTCAGGTAACCAATCAGAGCAGACTGGGCTACAAATATCAACCCGAAAAAATTGCATAATAGGGCCACTTTAAATTGCAAGGATTTACACTATTTCCAAATGCCTACCATATTGGGGTTGCTAAGGTAGATGATACATTACATTACATTACATTACATGTCATTTGTTAGACGCTTTTATCCAAACTGTGGACAATCCCCACAGGAGCAATTTGGGGTGAAGTGTCTGGGGACTGGCTTCAGTAGAAGCTGCTGGGACTCCCAGCAGCTTCTACTGAAGCCTTCCGAGTAAATCGCCAGAAACGCCGACACCTCCTCATCTCCACCGCTCCCATGTTTTCTTTTGTGTTGCCATAAGTTAGTCTCTCCGTTTGTGCGCTGGGCTAATGCTAATGCTAATAATGCTAATGCGAGGAAAATAAAATGGCGGCTTCACAAAACCTTTTGGGAGTTTTACGGGGCGTGGTTTGCAATCCGCCCAGCCAATCAGAAATGGGAACCTTTTTCTCCCACGAAAGTACCTGCTCTCTAGCAGGGACTGAAAAGGGGGTGAAAAGGTTCTCATGAACTAATTTTAGTTCCGGATCTTTTTGGTGTGAACGCAAATTTTCGGAACTATATCGGAACTATACTGGGAAAATTACTCCGGTGTGAAAGCGCCTTATGTCTGACTCTATGTCCCCACCTCTCTTTATCACACATCAAACACACACATACACAGCAAAACAGACCTACAACAAACGCCTTGAATACCTCACAGCAAAGTTATGTGTACAATCAGATCTATGCAGATGTTGCTAGAAAGGTAATGATTCGTGGAATTTTTGGGACAATATTCTTTTCAAAGCACTACTCGGACCTGGACAAACAAGGAGAAGCTAAATCAAAATTGAAAATACATTCCAGCCCTAAAAATGTTTCACTGCTCAAAACCTTTAGCTCAATCACACTCGGAACTTTACTGAACAAAAGTATTAGGCACGGGATTATGGTGGTATGCTGGTTTGTGTATCTTGGAAAACTGTTGGAATGACTAGAATCTTTCAGGTGCGGTTGCATTGTGATGTAGAAGAAGGGTATGGGAATTGGCACAGACATAAAACAAATAGCTGGGAATTGATCCATGGACATCCTTTGAAGGATTATGCAGAAACAACTGCAAGGGCAGGGTGTGTCAGTATCACAGTATTAGGCAAGCTCTATTGGTGCGCATGAGAAATTAGGAGACAGCGTTAAATGAAATGAAATTGGCTAAGAAGTCTTAATTTTTCAATGACACACAGATCTTTGTTATCCCAATGATGTGTCCAGGGCGTCTCCCACCTAGTGCATGCTGGGGCAGGCTTGTAGTCAAAAAGAAACTGGCACAAAAATCAAATGATGTCACAGGATGAGATACCTTGTGCATAGTTCCTTTGGAGTCTCCGAGGAAGGCGATGCTGTGTCCCTCTCTGACGCTCACAGCCACCGCAGTGAGACGGGCGGCCGAGGTGTCCCACACCATTTCAGCTTCCAGGGGTGCCCGGCTCGCCATTGGACTGGGGGTGTGGTCGGAGCCACAGGCATATGCCTTAAGGGTATTCTAGAAAGATAAGAAAGAAGGTTTTATTTCCTTTATTTAGGGTTAATTATTGAGTTTATGTACTCATGTCAAGGGGCACTTGTCTGAAAAAGTGAAGCCAATGCAGTCATTGTTTTGTACCTGCAAGAATTTAATAAGATGATAGATTGTCTAGAAGTCTATGAAAAAAAGTATCCTTCTCAATTGAGGTGTTACCTCAGTAAACATTTTAAATTGTGATATACAGTAATCACTGCCACTGCATTGATTAGTGGTTGGTTGTTCTTAAAATAAACTAATTCTTTTTTTTAGCTATTACATCTGGTTATAAACATGCAAGCCAAAATTAGCAATTCAATTGAAATCACAGTTAAGGTGAGTATGTATGCACCTTTAAAACTAAGCTAGCTAATGTTAACTTAATCTGAAAACTTTGCATTTAATATACGCTAATGGTACAAGGCTCTTTTGGGCTGCTCTCTTCTCCATCCTTCTGTCCATATATGGTCATGTCTGGCTATTAAAGACGGCCAAAATACCAAACTAGAGGTTTTAAAATGAAAATTATTATTATTTAAAATGTCCACAAAACAAAAGTAACTTCATGGTTGCTACATCCGCTTGTTTCCTAAGTGTAGGATGTTAACAGAATGCATCCGAATGACCTGTGTTTCATTGATCTTAACACATTAAACACCTACGTAGACAACTTCTTAGTCACGTCTTTCATTAGTTTTCCATTCTTTCCTACCATTGCCTCAGAGACTTTGAATCCTCTTAATTCACAGTAAGAGGATTGCACCATAGATTAAAGCAGACTCATACGGACACAGCCAGCTTGCTCTTTGGTTGTGCAAAACAACCACCCTAAATCCTGTTTTCTGGTAAGCGCCCGAGCTCTGGCTCCACATAATTGGCCCTGAAGCAGGAAGTAGAATAGGAAATATATTTTTTTTAGTCTACTAAAGAGTTTGTTTATTAAAGAAATAAGATGTCTTATCATGAAAACATCCTCTCTATATTTAATCATGTCTCTGTTTCTTTCAGCATCGCTTTTTTCGTCCTCTGTTATTTTATTCCAATGTTTGCTAGTCTTCTGTCCCATGTTTCTACCCCCCCTTCTCTCTCTACCTTCTTATGTCATTACGTTTTTTTGTAACTCCTATCCTTCCTTGTCAGAGCTCATTAAGCAGCATCACAGCTGATTCAGGGTTAGCTTTGTTTATTGATTGCTAACGATCCCATTAAATGGTTCTGAATCCTGCAGGACCTGAGTGGCTGCAGGGCAGCAGGGGGGGGGGGGGGGGGGGGCACTGGAGGGCTGCAGCTGGGCAAAACTACTCCTAGCGCATCTGGGATTCTTGGGATTTTTTTTAAATGAGGTCCTCATTACAATGCCTTCATTCTTCCTGTTACTAAGCTTAATCTGGGCAATCCAATTATCCTTTGTTACCAAGGTATACTTTCTGTTTTGTCTTTGTGTGCCCTTGAAACCAATTGAGTCTATATACTCAAGGTATATAAAGACAGCAGGACATAATATATCCTCATGTATAGCACTTATGTATGTACTAACCCTAACAAGCACTCAATGCATACAAAACCGCCTGACGGTTGTATGCCACCAAAAAACATTCAAAATGCAGTTCACATCCATGTTTTTTCAAAATGGCATTACGTCATCATTTTATCCCATTAAACTTTTGTGTGAAATTGTCAAAATTAGCATATGAATGGTTGAGTAATGGCCACAAACATGTTGTGTGAGGTCTGATAATATATCCTTGGATCCAGGTGGACCTTTGTCCCAAACTTGAAGCAAATCCCTCAAAGCATCTACAAGAGATATCGTGTTTACAAGAATAGGGAAGATTTAAGGACATAGTGACCTCCACCTTTGACCATTGACCATCAAAGTCTTCTCAGTTCATTTGTAAGGTCAAGCGGAAGTTTGCACCATATGTGAAGACATTCCTTCATGGCATTCCTGAGATATCATGTTCAAGACACACAACTGGAAAACATGATGGCTACGACCTGGGCCATCACCAACTTGACATTCTAACTATAGAATGTCATTCTGATACGTAGATCAAAGAGAAACTTTCATATGAGCATGTGATTGGCACATTCTGTGTTTTAAAATACCCATTTGGGCTGATGGGTATTTTAGGCCGATGCCTAAACATGAGAACATTAACCTTCTTTCTTGTTTTTCTGGATTCTTACCATGGGCAGGTTGGCACAGCTGGACTTGACCTCGTACTCTATGTACGCCACCTCTCCTTCCCCCTCCACCCGGCCGTCCTGGGTGTAGCAGAGGTCGCGGGTGGAGTTGATGTGTCTGTCCAGCTCCTCCAGTGGGTAAACGCACAGAGCCGAGGCATCCAGGGGATTGTTGTTTGTGGAGCCGGCGCGGGTGGAGAAGACTCCCAGCAGATCCTCGCCTTCCTGGTCTCCACCTTGTCCCACCTGTTGCAACAAAGGCGTGGGAGAAACTTGAGAAAGTTAAATACAGCCAGCATCAGAGTAATGTTGATTTAAAAGCAACATTTCACACTCTATAATCAAGGAATTTAACCATACTTAAATTGCCGCTCCCTACAATTTATTCAAGGATTCTTGGCATCGTTTGGAGACAAATGACTAGACAAAATAACTAGACGAATGTATTCCGATTCCAATTTCTTAATACCCATTAAAAAAGTTAATCAGTAACCTCAGTAAGTATGACAATATTAAAGTAAAGTCACTTGGTTACGTCCAAATATGCACGAGAGAAAATAAAAGAAATGTTCAAATGTAGCCTTTTTCTCTACCATGTATAGCAGAAGTAAAAAATAACAGCTACATTTCCACCATTGAATGTATATATATATATATATATATATATATATATATATATATATATATATATATATATATACGATAAAAACCATCGTGTGAAACTAGTGCTGTGAAGTGCTTTAATGTGTATGTGGTAGTATATTTTTCTGTATTTTAAAATTGGAACCCTTCTCTCATTGTTACTAAATTGGGAATGTTATTCCGCTTTTTTTCTGTACTTTGGACGCAATACGGATTCCTTATTAAATCAACAACGTTCCATTTATTCCGTTCCTCCCCAAGCCTGCTTATTTGATCATAACATTTAGTCAGAACGTACCTGAGCAGCCTGGAGAAAGTTGTAAGTCCTGGAGAAGGAGGGGGATCGGCAGACAAGAGGAACTTCCACATAGGAATAATAGGAGGTGTCGTCCAGGCACACTCTGGCAGCATACGTCCGGTACTCCCTCGATGCTGACTTGATGTCACGACGGTAAAACAAAAAGTAAACATAAGAGCGCCGTGTGAAAGACATCACAAAATGGTGGTCGTATTCCGACAGACGTCCAGCGACTGCCAGCTTAGCCGTCTCCTCGTAGGAAAAGATGGGTTCTGATGAAAGGTGGCGGGTGGAGATGGGCGGGTGGCTGGCGGTATAGCCCCTCCCCACATACATCACTGTCCTTTCCCCGCCACGAAGCCCCACCACCAGCCCCACGGTTGAAACCAATGGGTCATTGGCGGCGACATACTGCGTATCCACGGGCCTCTCAGTGGAGAAGACAACCTCTTTGATCGACTTGAGGTTGCGTTTCTGGCAGGTTCCCTGGTGGATGCTGCCGCAGGTGATCAACTCCAACGCCGTGGGATCCACCAGGAGTAGTTTGTTGTGGTTACTGGTTCTCCTGGCCTGGGGACAGTTGAACTCGTTGACTGGGGGAAGGCACTCTTTGCTGTCGCTTACTGGGCCAGTTGCCTCCTCTTGCTCCAACCGGAGTCCGTCCGATCCGTCCAGCTGGAAGAGGTGGTCCCTGGCCCCCACGTACACCGTCCCCACAGTGGGGTCCGGGTGGAGCACCAGGTGCTGGAACTCAGTGTCATTACGGGAGAAACGAGGGTAGGAGCGACCATGGGCTGTGGCAAAGAAGATGAGGATGAGGAGGAAGAGCAAGGTGGAGTTCAGAGTCTTCCCATGTAGCATGGCAAATATTCTGAGGAAGGAAACAGAGCTGGGTCAGAGGTCTGAGCTAGAGGTGTTACATCATTCACTAAGGCTAAAAGCTGCTTACCATATAGTTGAGTATAGCGTAAGTTTAAGAGTTTTAGATGGCTTAGGTTTAGGCCAAGATAAATGTTAAGATGTGGTGAGAGGAACTTCGTAAGAACGTAAGATTGCAAGACATAGGAGATGGTGGAGGAGTTATATCACAGCACGCAAATGAAATGTCAGCATGTCCACTTGGTCTTACTGTCCAAGAAAAAGGTTAAAAAATATTTATTGTTCAAATATTTGAGAAAAAGAAAATGTATAGTTGTGTATTCTCTATTCAAACAACAGCTCACAGTTGAAAGTATTTGTGTACATAGCAAAGTTTCAAATCTGTTAAAAAATATTATTCTATTATTGTTATCAAACCCAGAAAATATCTATATCTATAAGGCTGACTGATGTTTTGTAATTATGGATTAAAAAAACAGTTGAAAAACATTTCTAAACATCTAGAACATCTTATTCCCGATAGTAAACAAGTTCAAATTGCCTTACTAGCGGGAAAAGGAAAACAATTATTTCAAATGGCCAGCACAGGGTGACTCTTTTTCCCTAGACTTTTCCATCTTGTTTTTGTAATTTATTGATAAACTCAGTGAACTTTTTTGTACAATATAATACACATATAAATACACAATAAATACACAATATTGCAGGGTATGCTTTAGGTAGGCTACCTTGCGAGGCAATTTGATTTGCAAAATATTTCTAAAAACATTGCCTTACTAGCAACAAAGGGAATTGATCATCAATATATGATACAAACGGCACAAGCATAACATACACACTATCCCTGTTCGGTTTTCTCTTTAGATTTATAGACAAAAAAAAAGTACAATATTGATGCCATTATTGTTATCTAACACAGTTCTCAACGTTTACAATTTTGATCTCATTATCTATGTTCTTTGTTAAGCCTGGAATCCCATTATTTCCTCTCTGTCTATGAACGTTAGCAACACTCAAAATGACTCATCTGATTACAAAGTAAAAAGAAAGAAACACTCGAGTCATAATTCAGAGACAGACGGAAGCAATACTCAAGATGATTGTCCCATTATTCTCCATAATGTCACAACATCTACTCTAATATGATTAGTGCTCATAACACTATGTACTGTAGAGTGTTTTCATTGCTATCCAAACAGCAGCAGCCGCAGTATCCCTTACAGCCGGAGCATCTGAAACAACAACTCTCATTTCCCATTTCCACAGCTATCACTCAACACCTCTGAGCAGAGTGGTGTGTGGACACTGAGAGCCACTGCATTAACAGTTAAAAACGCCTTTAATTATTAAATAGATTACTCAGACCTTTCACTGACCTCACTGACAAGGGTCTCACAGAAATAAATAAATAACTACTGTAAACCATAGTGTATGGAGCACGCTTTAAACTGGGGATGTGTAAGATATACACAATGCGACATACAGATTATAATGAAACAATTAAATTGAGCTCTGGCAACAATCTCCCCCAAGTATTATAAATGCCCCAGCACTTATAAAACGAGAAGTACAATGTTTAGAAAAAAGCTATTAGACTGTAAAAAACACAGACTGCTGCCTCAGGTCTTTATGGGGCCAGTAGACAAATTATTATTTAGTTGTTGTTTTTTCCATCTGTTATTTGGAGTGTTTAACAGTATTGTAATAATACAAGGAACACGTGTTTTTCCACAGCTTTAAAAAGGGATATATTATTAGGGACATTTAGGATTTTAGCCTTTGCAGACCATTTACATGCACAAAAACATAAACAGACTACAGGAAAGGGAAAAACCCAAAAGCATGAGGGAGCCTCTTTAATGTCACAACTGCTCTACCAATTCTGCTCAAAGATTGTATGGCAGCCATTTGAGAAACTCTAGGCATCAAACTACCATAATAATATATGGAGGCTTGCTAACAACATTGTCTTTGGCCCTAACCATTTCCAAAACAGTGAATATGAATAGGAGATAGGATTCATTCAAGTTAGACTGAATCACTATTTGGCTGACCAGTTAAGTTAAATCACAGGTCAATTATATGTTAATTGCTCTTAAAAACATTGGTTGAAATGTCATTCTAAATGTCTGTTTTTGCTTGTTTCTTGCATTAAGTATTTGTCCTTGCTGCTGTGATGCAAGAACATTTCAGACTTGATCCGACAATTACGTATAATTGTAGTGTATGATATTAAAAAGGGAAATGCAGTTTCTGCACCATTACCTTGCAGTTTGAATAGATTGCTCAGATATTACAAATGCAGTGCTATCTCACCTAACTGTCGACCCCCTGGGGCTGCAATCAGGACAAAGACGAGGGGTGTAGAATAAAAAAGGGAGAAGCTGTGTGTGTGGGTGTGAATGTGTGTGTATTTGTGTGTGTGTTCATAACCAGGGGTTATCCAGGAGCAGGTGCATGTGTCTTAGTATGTCTGGCAAGTGGATGAGTGTGTCTCAGGCCTCCGTTTTACTTATTCATGAGCAGAATAAGACATATAATAACTAATAACCCCCACGCCCACTGTCAGAGGATTTGAATTTGGTGTGTATGTGTGTGAATTTCAAGAGGAGTGGCCAGTACAGTCTGTTAAACAGGGCTTGAAAATCCATAGTTGTTTGTGACAGGGGAGGGATAGTCCTCATGAAATATATATACAAAACAAACCAATTCAGTGTGCCTCATGTTTTATTGAGGCAAATCTCGAGAGCTCTTAGATACACTTTCTCTTCCGCCACATTATTGGCGTGGCGTAGCTTCACCACTTTGAGAGACATGTATGTTCACCTCTGGATGAACTGTTGCATCTTTGACAATTCCTAGGATCTGTGGCACTATATTCAACTTCAAATGTGTCAAGCTCTACCAAATACCAGCAAGTCGAAGGACACTTACATCAGCTTCCACTGTACTTTGCTTTTAGTGCTGGTTTGCAAATGTTAGCATGTTAGCATGCTAAACAAAGATGGTTAAGATGGTATTGTATCATGCATATTGGAATCTTTATTGTGACCATGTTAGTGTTTAGCTCAAAGCAATGCTTTAAAGAGAACAGGGGAGCTAGCACGAGGCTTAGATATATCGATAACAGATGTTAGAGCAAGACCATGTGACCTTTGCTGAAGACCAAAACATTTCAACACAAGTTACAGGATAATGGCAAATGCTATAGCATTATTCACAATAAGAGAAGAGTCATAAATCAAGTCGTCAAACTGATGCAATAAAGAAAGTAAACAAATAAAGAACAATGATGAAATCCTGTTATCAAGACGGTTTGAAGACTGGGGGTGTTTCTCAATCTCAAGTACGCTTGCTTGGTAGCACAAGTCTTCCGAGCGTCTTGCTTCAGAAGCAAGGCAAGAATACTTCCTGGCATTCGGAAAACAACGAGTGGAACACGCTAGCAAGTGTGCAGGTGTGCGTCATATGAGAGGCCCCGCCTTACATTTTCCGCCACAGATTTGGGGAAATTGGTCCGTGCGCAAAGCATTGTGGGGATTTTAAGACCGCAGAGTCTACAGATGTGCAGCCTCGAAATTTCTCCTAACGAAGTACGCCGGGCTCGGTAGATTTCCAAGTATGCTGGAGATTGGAACAGTACTTCGGCGGCACTCGATGACGTAGTATGCTTGAAATAGTGGCTCTGCAGCAGCTTTACTCGCGATTGAGAAACACCCAGGGTCTCCTGCCTCTCTTACACAAACATATGTGCTTTGTCCATGGGTGACAGCAGTGGGTAAACTGTGCATTGTCTCTCCACCACTTCAAAAACAATACAGTTTTTGCCAAGAAGGTGAGGCTTATTGACAGGGCGAGATATACCTATACTGTTGGTACTTGTCAATGTCTCTAGGTATGTAAATGTAGCCCTGTAAATACGATGTCCTTTTGTGTTATCTGTTGTTTTATGTTCATGTTGTAACCTACTTGCTGCCATGTTGGACAGGTCTCTCTTGAAAAAGAGATCGATGATCTCAATGGGATAGTGTTGTCACGATACCAACATTTTGGTTTCGATACCGATACCAAGTCAAGAATTGCGATTCCGATTATTTTTCGATACTTTTCTTTTATTATTTTCATGATCAATAAAATTGTAGTTTATCTGTTAAGTGTTTTCTTACAACATGGTCTCTTCTTTATACTTGAGTTTCTGTGATTTCTTTGATAGTTAACTTTATATTTTATTAACATGTAATAGTACAGTAATATAAATAATTATTGACAAAATGTACATTGCAGATGTTAGCCACATTGGTAAGTTAGCTAAAAAGATAGCCATATTAGTTATCATTGCCATTAATTGCCTCGTCAAACTACGAAAACGTTAGTTTGTCACAAAATAAATGACACTTGTTTGACTTAGATTTGAGGGCATGGGCTTGAGCATGATGTAATTATGTTATCTATCACATTCGCTAACCTGTCTGTCTTTAAATTCTTTAAACAGCTATGGATGCCGGTCGGCGAGGTGCTTAGCCAAGTTTGATGAGCTCCCTTGGTTTGCAGGGATCTAAAACATTTCTTACAGACAGGCCTCGTGGTGTCCGTAGGCTTGCCCTCACTGTCAGAGATATAGCTAAAATACTTCCAAATTTCGCTTCTGGCGTCTTTTTTGTCAACAAGCCGAGGCGCAGCGGCAGTTGCACTCCCACTTGCAGCCATGCTTCTCGTTTTCTCACATGCTCTGGCAGCTAGCGCGTGCATGAGAGAGGGGAGGCACTTAGAGCATGCATGAGAGAGGGGAGGCACTTAGAGCGTGCTTGAGAGGGGAGGGACTGCAGGCACGGCTGCAGTGCAGGGAGTGGAAGCAGAGCGCTGAACACACACGGCTCTTATTAAAAAAGCGCTTTCTCACCGGAGTAGTTTTCCCCGTCATTCTTAAAGTACCGATACTAATGAAACGGAGGAATCGTAACGTTTTTAACGGCAGGGTATCGCGGTACCTTT